TACTAAAGTTTTTATAGAAAGAGTGAATCCAATATGACTATCTCTGTATTTTCATCTTGGTATCAACAGAGGCCATGGATCAACTGTGTGGCCAGACCATCACTGCGGGAAAGAACGCTGGTTTACTGCACTCACAAGCCGCCGAGCGGTACTCCAACAACTTGGACTGTACAGTGGCCATCCAGGCTGATTATGACCGAACACTCCTGCTCCGATTTGAGTATCTAGACATCGAGGGGGACGGAGACGGGAGTGGTTGTCTTCATCGCGACGTCTTGATGGTCTATGACGGGGTGTCAGCTGGAACTGTAAATAGAACTTTGCTGTGCGGATCTCGGGCGGCTGATATCGCAACTAGCGGACGTGTGGCGACGCTCAGATTTAAAACCGATTCCTCTGTTGCGTATCGTGGATTTGTCGTCTTGTACACATCAATGAGGACTCCTGGAGCTAGTAAGTGGATATACAAATCGAAACAAACAAGCGTTGTACAGGGTGAGTCAAAACAAACGATACCCTAGTGTTAGGACCAATTTTTGAATAAAGTTTTGCCTGAAGCAGGATATGAAAGCCCAATCAATAAGCTTTCATTTAGTGTAAGAATCATTCAAATTACTCATGTACTTCTAAAGTTACGGAATTTTAAACACAAACACCGTTTTAAAGTTCTGTTCACGGATAAAAAAGGGTAAGTGTTCTTTCAGCAAAACGAAAACAATTCACATGGGGATGTATGGGAATTGTTTTCGTTTTGCTGAAAGAACACTTATCGGTTTTTGGTTTAAAATTCCGTAACTTTAAAAGTACATGAGTAATTTGAATGATTCTTGTTCTAAAAGAAAGCTTTTTGATTGGGCTTTCATATCCTAGATTTTAAAAGTGCTTCAGGCAAAACGTTATTCAAAAATTGGTCCCGCCACTATAGGGTATCGTTTGTTTTGACTCACCCTGTACACAACGATCATGATCCGCTCAATTACGGCATATTATTGACGGTACGGATCGCCAATAATCCCAGCACATTCCACACTGTTGCAGACTAATGTCCATACTGCCTTTGATAAATGAAATCATTTCCCGATTTTCAGGTGATTGTTACTGGACTGAATTCAGGTGCACCAACAACCGCTGCATCAATGCAAACCTCACGTTCAATTCCTTCGACAACTGCGGCGACAATAGCGACGAGCAACATTTCTTCAGTAAGTATTCAAACTCATGTAATTCAAACCCACGGATGGATCTATAGAGGGCGCGATCCAAATGTTAATCACTGTTTCCAGAGGGCTCCACTGGTCAAAATGTCATCGCAAAACTTCTGGATCCTGGCTCCCTGCTGTACGTAATGAATGCGCGCGGCTATTGGTTACCAGCGATGCAACCAGACCCAGTAGGCTGGTTCCGAATAGTCGACTAGCGTAGTCAACCATCGTCGACTAGACAGAGTTCGGACTAACTTTAGTCGAACTATGGTTAACCATTGGTCAACAATAGTTCTTGCGCGAACTTGCCCAAGGATTAACGCTTGCCTGGGTGCGTTTTGGCGGTCATAACCAAGAATTGGTTCGGTGGTTTCTCTTTGATTAATTGTTTTGGGGATTTGAGTACTACATGGTCATGTGTAATTCTAACCCAATTAAAATTGCCGAAGAAATTCACTGACAAGAAACTACCGAACCAATTCTTGGTTATGACCGCCAAAACGCACCCCAGTAGTCGACTGATGGTCCTTGCCCGAACTTGCTCCTTGTCTATAGACTTTTCTATCGCCGACGCGTGATTGGCAACCACGGGTTGCCAAACTAGGGAAGGCCCAACACTGCAAAAATGAGGAATAGTTATTGGTGATTACACAAAATTTTATTTGATTTTTGAAAATGCAAAATAATCAACTAACACACACAAAACAATTCCTAAACATGCCTTCTAATGAGTGTAGTGAGGACTTTTTTTGGGAAAAGTATGTTGCCAACGACGGCTTCAAGTTATGCCTCTGCGGCAGGCCATACAAAATGGCGCTCAATGTTTACAAACGAAAGAAAGGACTGTAGAGGATGGAGAAAAGCGTGAAAAATATAGAGGGACGTACATGTATATTTTTCACAGTTTATTGACCCGTCGATCTGTGATTTCTTGCCCCAGCTGTTGGTGGAGGGGACGATTCAATCATTACTACTCACTCTGACACAGTCTTCATAGTGGCTGCATGGGTCATCGTTGTCATAGTCATCGGTTGCATTGTGGGACTGGTGCTCATCGTCCTTTGCTGTGCTTTCATCTGCTACTTGGCCTGTAGGAGCAGCAACCGACCCGCACAGCAGCAAGCGTCGTACACCGCTGTACCAGCACCCCCACAGCAAGTTGGGGCACCGTCAACGGATTACAATCAGCAACCACCCATGGCCATGCAAACTACGGGTCCTCCTGCAAATCCTCAGCCCGACGGACAAGCAGCAACCTACCCGCAACTGCATCTCGAGCCCAGCGAACAAGCGCCACCACCGTACGAAATCAAGTCTTAAACACTGCGTCATTTAAAAAAAAAAGGACGAATGATAATCACAATTTGAAAAGGGGGAAAAACCAAACAGTCAATGTAGCAAGAGGGCGCTCTTTTACGTGTTAACACTATCTAAGCTTCTATGGACCATGCCCTGTGACATCATGCCGTTATGCCCTGTGATGTCATGCATGCTTTTGCATGTTATTTGACCCATAAACAGTTTATTATGTCAAAATTTTGTAACCTTTCATGTTTCAAGAGATATACATGCAGTACAGAAGAGAACCGTTTGTTGAAAGATGAAATCACGTGACCACAACATCCACTTTTGTAAACGTCACATAACATGGTCTACAGTCAACTGTAAATAGTAGGTTTCATTATCCTAATATTAATGAAAACAATTACTTTTTTCAATAAAATGTAAATGTTTAGGAGAGAAAACAAACACCAAAAATCGCAGTGGTCATTATAGCCACCCTCGTGCGACAGAAAGTTTGTGATTATTAATTTGTATCTATGGGGTGTAGAATGTTTTCTATAATTTCTCAAAAATACGAGCCATAATTATATCCTATACGTGTTACTTTGAAGTTAACTCAAAGCAAACATGAATTTGATATAGGTCTTATTATTATATTATTCAATGTAAAGATCTATACTGTATAGGCCTAATGGCCACAAATTATAAAGGAATTATATCTTTAAAAATACATCTTTTATGTGTGTTTGATTAGAATTTATAAGAAAATGAGTACTTTAGATTTGACTTTTGGACCGGTAATAAAATGCACTTTTTTGCGTGAACCAATTGGCGGATAACAACATCAGAGATTTAAATACCGTGATCCTTTGAGCATTATATGTATGGTGCAGATCATGTGCTCGGTGATGATTAGCCCCACTAGTGTGGCCGTCGGTATGCTGCGCTGAACCTTTGGCCACACACCGTGGTACCGCGCGCTACTGAGGACGAAGTTTTCATAAAAATTCAGGGCAGTTTCTTACATTCTCAGTTTCTTACTTTCTTATGGTTGTATTCTATGATGTCTCACCTGTCACTTCTGGGATGCTTAGGTCTAATGATGTTCCATTTTCCGAGATATTCTTCAATCTTTCTGGAGTCCATATGCACTCGTGAAACGTCTGGTGGTGGCAGCCATTTTGAATGGGACAAGAGATGACCTCAAGCTGTGACGTCGCGTGTATGCAAATTGCTTGTCGAGCGCGCGAGGGCGCGAGTTGCAAATGCATCATTAGACCTAAGCATCCCAGAAGTGACAGGTGAGACATCATAGAATACAACCATAAGAAAGTAAGAAACTGAGAATGTAAGAAACTGCCCTGAATTTTTATGAAAACTTCGTCCTCAGTAGCGCGCGGTACCACGGTGTGTGGCCAAAGGTTCAGCGCAGCATACCGACGGCCACACTAGTGGGGCTAGGTGATGATGAACATTATATGCCAAAACGACATGACACATAAACATCACCGTATTATATCGATCGTGAATTTATCATAGCTAACATTAAAAAATACCGAAAGTGTGATCGAATTATGAATTCATTTTTGTACTCAACGGTATAAAACTTGTTCATTTAGATTTCTTTTAAAATAAGTTATTTCCACTTCTCTTGTCATTATGCAACTCATAAACAACTCACTCTGTATGCCTACTTGGAAGTTTCCCGCCATGATACCAAACGTTTTTAACGGGTTAGTTCAGTATACTTACGGTGGGTAAATTAGATGTGGCGATATCAGAAATTGATATAAATAGCAATCTCCATCTAGTAATTGCAGACAGATCCGTGTCGCCGCACACCCGGCCATCAGAAGCCAGAAAAGATACAGTTTGCATACCCGACCCATGCAGGTGCAGCACATGCCCCCCACCCACTTGCTGGAGCGAGCACCTTTAATGTTTAATATCCAGTGGCTGGATGGAATGTTTCCATGACAACATGTAATTTGAGCCACCCGACCCTCACAACCAGCCCATTCACCCCTGATTAACCTCTGGCATGTCTGGAGTATCTCTCAGGCCCCAAACAGCCGTTAAAACCATAGCCTCGGTCAATGCTCTCGTCGTTATTCGTCCCGTACGCGGTCAATCGTCGGCATCCTCACGCGCTATGCACATGCATGTAAAAATACAGCGCGAACAGCGACCTCACGCGGCCACTGTTTTTATGCAAATCAGTTGGAGATGATGTCGAGCCTTGGTTCAATCGTCGGCCAAAGCTTATGTTTTTCTTTACTTTGCGCTAGATTTCCAGCGCACGACCTCGTATGCGAATACAGATAATGTAGGCGGGGCTAATATGTTGGGTGTCCAATCACACCTTGGTAAATCCGGACGTCATCAAATTATTTGCAGCTATTCCGGCTTTTGCGGACGTGACAGGAACCACAGTTTTTGTGCATTGGTGCCGTGTGCAGAGACACACAATACGAGTATGGATTATGTACGGTGCCACGTTTCACTATGCAAGTTTCCACGCAACGATCGACCAATAAGAAAACGACATCTTGTTCGTGGTACGGTGAGCACATTCATGTACTGTACATATACCGGCAGTACGCCCACGCATCAAGTACAGCGCAGTATGTGGTCTGCTGTTGAACCTCACACAGCGAACATCATGGCGGAATTCAAGCATCGTGGAGTCTTTGTCTGGAGCTTGCTGCTGACGTTACTGTACGCGGCAAACGCACAATTGTCTTCGTGGGAGGAGGCAGGGGAGAATTTTGGTAATGTTCCGAGCCCACATATATTTAATTACTGAATGTTGTAGGAGGAGTGGGGGTAAGCAGTTCGTAATCTCAAGGCAGAACATGGCACATAATTATTACGACGTACTGACAAACCCACTTGTGCAAATGATGCGGATTGGCAAACATGAGATACGAATTTGCAATTATGCTTGGCATAATTGGCAACCCGGTAAAAAAGGTGTTCATCTTATTGGTGCATTTTAAACTATAGGTATATAGGATCATTTGTTTTTATTTATGCATTATGTTCGTTTAAATAATAACACCGCTCAAAATCCAAAAAGAAGATTGCTCAGAACCAATTGAACTGGCTACACACCTATGTTCCGACACCCCTATGTACCGACACCCCTATGTTCCGACACCCCTATGTACCGACACCCCTATGTTCCGACACCCCTATGTTCTGACACCCCTATGTTCCGACACCCCTATGTTCCGACACCCCTATGTTCCGACACCCCTATGTTCCAACACCCCTATGTTCCGACTACACGTATTCCTATACCTAACCCTAACCCTATTAAAGGCCAAGTAAAAAAAGTTTATCGTCCTGCTTTTTGAAAAAAGGGAAGGAGGAGGCCCTTATTTTTCCCTTCCAAAATGGCCGCCCGACTGGTCTATTATTCAAGATGGCCGCCAGCTTTTTTTTCTCAAATGGCCGCCACTTGGACTCAGGAATGACATACCAGCTTTATATGGGCTAGATGCAACAGACAAAGAGGCCAGAATGATGTCACTGTTTAAAATTTATCATTTTTCGTGTTTAAAAAAGAAAAGAAAAAAGAAGGCAGCCTCCAAAGGAAGCGGGAGGGGACGCTAAACATGTTTTTTTTTTATTTGGCCTAACCGGGAGTAACACCATCTTATGTGTGGGTTGTCGAACATAGAGGTGTCGGAACATTGGGGTGTCGGAAGAATAAGATAGAGCAACTTCGCCTCAGCTCAGTGGGTACACCTTTCGAGAAAACAGTGAAAAACCATGCATAATATCTTAATGTCCAGCGCTCTTTATTCAACTTGACTAATCGTTGAAATTGAAAATAACTAGGCCTACTCCCATTGCTTGATTTCTTTTAAAGGACTACATAAGTCCTTGCTCTATGATGACAGCAAGCCAGACTGAATAGGTTCATAGGGTGTTTGGTGTCAGTATACGATCTCAGTGAAATGAACTCTTTCATAATAATTAGGTATAGGTTGCTTTTGGGATAAATGCAAATGAGTCTGGAGCAGTGACACTTTCTATAACACTGCAAATTCAAAAGGAAAATTCTTATTACAAAGGAAGTTTCCCCTTTGAGAACAAACACCGCACATCCTGACAAAGAGCAAGCATATCCTGATTACACTGGATCACTGGTGTACGTGTCAGTCGGTCATGTGTCGGTATCGGCAGCGTATCCAGCTGTTGATGTCAGGGGGGCAACCGCACATCCGCGCCGAAATGCAGACATGTTTTTTTCTCCGGACACTTGCTCTCAGATTATCATTTTGGTAAACATGTGGTAATTGTTCAGGAAGCTTTTTTTCACTCAGCTCTCGAATTACATAGGTTTTTGGAGTGATTAAAATGATATGTTTTAAACCTATTTCTAACATTCTTTTAACATTTTACATTCAATTGATCAATTCAATAAATTGAGGCATGCATGTGAATAAACTGAATAACATATTCGTTGCATGTGTCATCACGAATGAACACGCTCGACATTGTCAAGGTGTAAGCTCTATGCGTCAGTGACGTCATTGGCCTGTGCATCATTTTAATGTGTTTTGCGGTATCCATCGCCTTGACCTTTGGCGCTGCGTTGGGTTGGGAAATTCCAACTGCGCGCTAAAGGAGAGTTCATGGGGAAACTTCCATAATAATGAGAAATCGATATTAGGCAAAAAATAAATAAAAAATAGTCAGTCTCTGGTCAGCACGCGCGTCGATTTTAAAGGGAGTACTGCGTCCTGGAACATCCCAATTGGGCTACAAAACGCGCTTTGAACGAAACGATGTTGATTGGAAAACATTTAAAAGTAGGATATAAACATCTACACAACTATCCTTTAAAAACTGGCGTTTTTGTGTTATTCCTGTATCATGCATGCGAGAACGACTTTCGGGGTCCACTTTGGGACCCCCTAAAGTCGAGCAGTTTGGGTACTATTTGTGATTTCATCCGTGAAGTGTTCGCCTTTTGCGGACGTGTAAGAAACCTCATTTTGTGCATTGGTGATTGGTCACCGCTGTTCGCGAGCACGGTGTAGCTGTAGTCTGGTTCCCAGACCTGACAATTATTCCCGACGCTCACGTCTAAATTGTAGGTCAGGCAGCCTCCGTGGCTAAAAGTAAACATGACCACATTGACGGCCCTTTTTAAAAACTCGGCTTTGTTTTCCGATTCTCTCTTCCTTCATAATATCATACAGTTATGATAATACAGTTTGATATTTCTGTAAGAAGCATTGTCTGATGTTGACCTGAAATCTTCAAAGTTAGGCACCCAAATAGCACTGTTAGCAGGCGGAGCCGAATGAGGACCACACCGAGTTTTGGAAAATGCCGCTATAACGGTCGTAAAATTCAAAACAGTACATGACGCAGCAAAAACTTCGCCCCTCGTATACGATCCGAGTACAAAATCGTCGTTGAATTTCAAATTTTCTAACTAAAAGCAATGAATATTAATTATCATCTCGTTTCTAATAAGCAATTAGCAGTTAATAAAACCTATGTTATACTCGGGCGCTATCCGATTGTCGACAAAACGAATTCGGCAAACTTCGGAAATTTTCGGAAAAAGGAGGAATTCCTCCCGTTTTGGTCACGTGACGTTATTTGTAATACAATGTATTACCAGAGGCTACCTGACATAAGAGTCATCAGGAATACGCAGAATCATTTGGTCTGGGAGCCAGACTAGGTGTAGCTGTATACAGTGTTGTAGTCGAGACCGGATAGTCCGAGACCGAGACCAAGACCGAGACCTGAAGCTGCGAGACCGAGACCGAGACCGAGACCAGCCCCTTCAAGGCGGACCGAGACCGAGACCGAAATGGTCCGAGACTGAGACCGAGACCGAGACCGCGGATAATAAATAACAATAATCTAAATAAACAACAAGACACTAATTACAGCTGAACAGTCTGTCCTTGAGATGTTGATGTTCATGGGGATGTGAAGGAAGTGATTAAAAGTTAGGAATAACTTGTAACTGTTTAATTGTGTCATGCAAGTGCTCTTCGTGTTTGCTTCATGCCATAAATTACAACATGGCAACAGAGCTTGTTATTGTCACAATCAATTAAAAAAATATCGTTTAACAACTATAAAATGTAAATCTGATGAAGAAACTCTAACTTAGGAGTACGACAATTTGTACTAGTTTTTGCAAAACTTGAACATGTTGAAACTTGACAAAAGTAAAAAGTTAAAGGTGGATGTTTCATCTGTTATAGGAACTCGGACCCTAAACTCCAGAGCCATCCCTTGGTTTCAGCAATGACCACTAACGGATATTTAAATGCAACTTTAATTTTACATTGGACCTCCTTGTAAACCTGATTCGAAAAAAAATTTGGAGCAAGAAAATTTTGATTTATGTAGACCAATTTTTTTTTTTTTAGAGATGGTAGCCAGATATGGATTGGTCTGGCCCCCCCCTCCCTGCATGTTTGTGTGTCCCCTACATGTTTGTTTCTTGTTCCTCTGTAATTTACCTCTGAAGAAGGCCTGGCTAAGGCTGAAATGTAATGCCACTTTATTTTTGTTAAATGTCAATAACGTTACATATACTATAAAAGATCGATGAACCATATTTGCCTGATCTATCTTCTGTTCATCTGCCCGCCGTCATCATCGTCATAAGCCTGGCCGACACAATAGAAGGGCGCTGTAACAAACTGAATGTGGTGGGCGAGATGCACTTTTAGGATGCAAGGCTCAGGTGCACGCCTCTCTGTGTTTTGTACCGTGCCAGCGTATCGCTCGCATCGGCTACTTCGTCGGGCAATTTACTTGAGTATTTTAGTGACAAGTACGACATTGCCAATATTCTAATCGCTTATTGTGGTGGCTGTAAACATCATTAATGAAACAAAAGTCTTCTCGACTCATGCAAACGCAATTGACATTTAGGAAGGAGACGAGGCAGGCAATTAGACTCTAGAGAGGCGTGCGCACTGAGCCATGTATCATAAAAGTTCATCTCGCCCACCACATTCAGTTTGTTACAGCGCCCTTCTATTGTGTCGGCCAGGCTTATGACGATGATGACGGCGGGCAGATGAACAGAAAATACACAATCTGACGGTGAAAATAATGTTTCAGTCTGGATTCATAAGATTTAAATCTCATTTGTATTTGGAATCAATGAGGATGGCTATAAAGTGCTTGTTTCAACATATCATCCCACAATAAAAACGAGAAATTAGAAGAGGAGCAATGGTTATTGGACTATGCCTCACTCACTAGAAAGTGAAGAGAGACATGTCCATTAGCATCACACTGCAGTCACGTTTGCCCTAAATGGATTCTTTACTTATACCTAAAAGGGCCGGGGGCGGAATCCGCCCGCCCCCCCCTCACTTTTTGGCTGGTCTCGACTCGAGACCAGCCAAAATATCGAGACCAAAGGGGACCGAGACCGAGACCAAGACCGAGACCACAGCTCCCGAGACCGAGACCGAGACCGGCAAAAAGTGGTCTCGAGACCGAGACCGAGACCGAGACCGGTCTCGAGACCTACAACACTGGCTGTATACGAACACGCCAAATCGTTAGAATAGACACACACACACACATCCACCCACACCCACATGTAGCACATCGTACATTGAACGACAGCAAATAACGTACTCGTACTGCGACATGTCCGATGTAAACAACCGGGTTTTTTCGGGTTTTTTTTCTCAGGAACGGTAAGACATTAGGTTGGTTTCCTTTCAACCAGATGTTTGAAATAGGAAAAGTAAACAATCCAAAACATGAAATTTTCGGGGATTTCAGGACCTAGTGCCCCTTTAATCATACGCGTCAATCTTTTTTTCCCTTCCAATTTTCCGCGTTAGCTACAACAGCGCCCTCTATTGCCACACCTCCTCAAAGTTCTGTACCAAGGAATTGGGAAATTGCACAAAGGCAAATTATGGAGGACACCAATGTATATGAGGTCGAGGACACAAAAAAGCAAAATAGTACCCACCATGTCTGTACAATCCAAGCTTGGAAGCTTGGAAAAAATACAAAAAAAATAAATTAAAACGCGTCTCCGCATCAATTCCGGAATTTTGGTCTGACCAGAGACCGACTAGCCTATGTTGTTTTTTTGGGCCTTAAAGTCGTGTGAAGTCCTACATCAGAAGCTGCTGTTTAAATTTTTTAGGGGGCACTTAAAAATAACTTAGTGAAGAATGTCTTTTATACAGTCATAAGGACTCCAATCTGATCTTCAATAATACTCGGAAGTGCTTTGCGATAGAAAGAAATTCATGAAAAATGTGTGAAAATTTGGAATAAACATTCATTATATTTCCACAAAATGTGAGATTTTATCTCGGGGGAGTGGGAATGTCTTTTTTTTTGGGGGGGGGGGGGGTTGGAGTGGAAATTTCTCTGTAGCTTGCTAGATGCATTTCACCTGGGATTTCACAAATTGTCTTTCTGTAGTTCACAATTACATGTACATGTATACTTACACTTTTTTCATCCTGTAACGTATAGCCTCAATGATTGGGCCACAATTCAGTCATATTGTTTTCTATTTTTCCTATCTCCTATTTACTTTTTGGGCTGATAACGTAACTGGCAATTGCAGGGCAATTTCAATGATTGCATTTTATGTAACGCATAATACATCTTTGACATTTTGTAATGCGACACAGACCAATGTAAACACTCTAGCTGACACCTGTCATAAACGTCTGCTCTGCTTTCAAAACCGATCGTTAGAATCGAACATATTGTGAACGATACGGCAGTGGCGGCGCCAGACTCTGAATGGGGGGGGGGGGGGGGGGGGGATTGGGGGCAATGGTACTGGCACCCGCTCAAAAATTATCTCTACATTGTTCCTATCATGCAACTTCCAAACAATGTCAAGTTTATACTAGCCATATTGAAATAGCTGAGGTGACATTAACTGGGCCGCTTAATAAACATCGTTGGTTTTGGTACAAAAAAAAACTATGTGGTTCAAATAGGGCACATTCACGTCGCACTGTTGTTAGCCTGCGTCTGATGGGTTGGAATGGACTTTGCACGGCAAGCATAATTATGTGTAATGCTAATACAAAAGGAGGGGAAAAGATCATAAGCAAAACTAACAACTCGCATAGCTTATTTGCCCGTTTCCTTTCGTATAAATTTAACGTTGCCACAGCCCTGACATATAGCTCTGTTGTTGATGGCCCCTTGCGTGGCGTGGCCCTTAAACGTGGCTCGCTTTAATTTTTCACCTAGCGCTTTGCTAGAGCAAAGGTTTGACCATACATGTCACAGTAAGTGAAATTTCTTCAGCCGCAGGCTCTAAACATTCCCGTTCATACATCGTGAGTTTATCTACCCATTACAAAGTCAGCAGAGATATTTATTTTGGCGTGATTTTTCGATTTTATTTCGAAGTGCACACTGAACCTTTGACAATGCGCTCAAAATTAAGAAAATCATTTTCCGACATACTTCTCGTTGGGTCAAGGGCGGATCCGGGGGGGGGGGGGGCAAAGGGGGCCATGGCCCCCACAAAACGAAACCAATTTTTTTTTTATGTGACATCGCAATAAAGGCAGGCAATGAGTACACCACCATCTTTTCCTCAAAAAAACATTGGTCAGAAAAACAAGTGGTCAGAAATTGCCTCAGATCGCACAACAGAGCATCTAGAATCCAACTTTTTTCGGGGCCTTTAAGCGGGCCCCGAACCCCACGCCATAATTTTTTGTACCCACTTTTTTGGGGGACCAAATTTTTTTTGGGTCCCCCCCAAAAAATTGTGTTCTGTATCCGCCTTGCGTTGGGTATGTGAGTAGGGATAATAATGGTCCATCCGAAATCTTCAATGTTAATTTGGGATTTTCCGAGGCTTGTTCAAGTGTGCCACGTTAGGGAACACTCAGCCGATTGTGTGCCCAATTTCCGGACGCCACCGTGACCGTTTTTTAAACTTTCATGACACTGAAATAAATTATTCACAAAGGTTCAACAGCAAGCATTAAAAGGTAAAAGTACCCAGTATTTAACTGAATGAATTTAAAGTTTGTCAACAAGGAAGTTTGGCAATACTGCATGAGTAAAGTTGGGGGAAACGTCGAAGTGCGCCACGTTAGGGAACACCACTATATTAATGTGATCCAAATTACAGTACACATGGACCAACACTGAGATATACACGCGATCAGTAATTAAACTAAAGGGTTCATGCAATGTAATTTGTTTTAATGTTATCCTTCAAAATGCACATTTGTGTCCCATTTAATCTGAGAATCAAATTTTGTTGTTACAATCTGTAAGGGTATTTTGGTGCCTCTTTGGTTTTAATGCTAATGCTAATGCGAATTTCCATACTCATGAGCAAAACTGTGATGTCATTCTGGTTAGAAACTTCAATGTTACAGCTATTGCAACACCAGAAAAGGTGCTAGAACTTTGAATATTTGCTGTCATGAAATTTCTTTGGTGATTCCTTGTTGTATAAGTGCATGGCATGCAGTAAGCCAGTGATCAACCATTTTGTTTTTAATGAGCAAATTTTGGGTTCACAATTTGAACAGAAAAGCCCCAAAATGAACAGTGTCTTCCTGAAATGACATCGCAGCAAGAGCGCTCTCAGTTGTCCGGAAAAGCGTGGACAATTTTAAAAATTAAAAAAAATTGCACTTTTCGATAAAATGAACCTTAAAGGGATGTCAAATAGTTTTCATACATTTAAGAGGAGTAGAAAGTTACACAAAATGTGTTCCTAAGAATACTTTACGCAGAACCCTTTAAATCATTGTTACGCACTTTATAGTTTAAAGGGTTCGTGCGATGAATTTTTCTTCGGAACACATTTTGTGCAACTTTCTACTCCTCTTAAAATGTGTGAAAACTAATTTACATCCGTTTTTGGTTAATTTTATTGAAAAGTGCACTTCTTTAAACACTTAAAATGTTCCATTGTTTTCCGGACAACTGAGGGCGCTGCTGCTGTGTGATGTCATTCCAGGAAGACACCGTTCACTGTTTAGGGGTTTTCTGTTCAAATCGCGAACCCACAATTAATTTTGCTCATTGAAAACATTTAATGACAAAGGTTTGCTCAGTGGCTCACTGCCATGTACTGACAAAACAACGATTCACCAAAGAAAAGAAAAGTTACAAAATAGGCAAAATATCCAAAGTTCTAGCACTTTTTTGTGCTGAAATAGCTGTAACAGTGAGGTTTCTGCCTGGAATGACATCACAGTTTTCTCATGAATATGGACATTTGCATTGCATAAAAAACAAAAAGGCACGGAAATAAACTTGAAAATGGCAAAACGAAAATTGACAATAAGGTTAAGTAGGACACAAAGGTCCATTTTCAAATTACATTGCATGTGCCCTAAATTGTGATGTCTTATGTTTTCCTTCCAGTGGACCACTACTTTCATAATGACGTGCAGGACACAGTCCACGATGTCGTATCCCTCAGCGTTGGTGTGATCATTGCCATCGTCGTGGGCTGTATCTTGCTCCTGATCTCATGCATTTGCTGCTGCTACTGCTGCTGCTGCAGGAGCCCTCCTCCAGCCCAGCAGACAGTCATCGTCGCCCAGTCCGCACCAGCGGCCCAGTCCACCGTGGTCGTAGCTCAAGCTCCCCAGGCCGCGTACAACCCCCAGCCCATGGGTCCACCGCCCATGCAACCACCGGTCGGCTACGGGCAACCACAGGCGGGCTATGACGGGCCGCCACCCTACCCGGGCCAGCAGACAGGATACGGTTACGCTAAACTCTAAATTTGCCACCCAGAGCTGCATGCATGTTAATTTTACTCGTCTTCCATTTGTATAGCCACTTTAATATCCATTTTTTGTGTCGCCCAAACGAAGTTTTGGTGGACACTCACCAGTCCTAAATTCTGTATGACCGTATGTTTAAAGTTTAGGTTAAGTTTTTGAGAAACATGTACAACTCTATACTTTCATGGATTTTGCTGAAACTTGGATGCGGCGACCCTTGGGTGGGAAGACACGGTTCGTCATCGGATTACTGAGGTCAAAGGTCATGTAGGGGTCATAAGAGGTCATGGTTCAAATCTTCTTCAAATGTTTGTCTACAGAATTTGATGGATTTTAATGTTACTTGGATGGAGCGATCCTTATGTGGGGTTCATTACAACTCTTCCAAAATTGGAGGTCAAAGGTCATGTTGGGGTCATTTTAGGTCGTTGTTTAAAAATGCACAAAATTGTGCTGACGACTTGTTATAAGGAAGAGCTAATTGGAAGATAAAAATGACATAAAAAAGGAGCAGCTGATTTTCGTTTATGCCGGCAGTGTAGTTGACTGTGACAATCAGTTGCCCCACCTGGCAAAACCAACTTTTTTGGGCTCATGACTTTCTTGGTAACAAAATCAATCAGTCCGCGGAAGAGATTTTTTTTTTTTTTTTATTGTTTTGTAATTTTGTTTTAGTCCCACAATTGGTTCTTGGTGATATGTATGTGGCCTATTTTCGAGTAGTATAATAGGGGTGTAAGTGGCGCCACCAATGAAAATAGTCTACCCCAAAATAAACATTTTTCTGTGGCCAAATATTTTGGCCAAAATTTTCTGAATTTGTTTTCAAGTACTTCTACAAAAATTGGGGGAAACAAATAATTGTGAGCCCCCCAGCCAAATCCTGGGTGCGCCACTGTGTTGAAAGATGGAATCCCGTGACCACAACATCCAATTTTGCATACAAAGGTCACATGGCCTACATAGTCAACTCATAGCTGACCTTACATTGGCCTAATATTAATGTAAACAATTTGCCTTTTCCAATAAAATGTAGGCCTATACGTTAAGGAGAGAAAAAAACTTCAAGAATTGCGTTGGTCATTTTGGGAGTCCGGTAAGCCAACATATAATAATCGTGCGACAGAAAGTTTATGATAATTTTATATGCGGAGTGTAGAATGTTTTCTATAATTTCTCAAAAAACACGAACCATGTAACCTGTACATGCAAATTAAACTTTAAAGTAAACATGAATTTGATGTAGGTCTGTCTACTCTTCGAAACGATCACTGTATACAGTACTAATGTTGAATACAGATTTTAAAATACTGTATAGACTTGATGGCCATAAAAAATAAAGGAATGGTATCTTCTTCTTTTTACATAAAATTACACCTTTTTATGATTTTTTTTTTAAAAAAGTTATAAGAAATTTAGTTCTTTGAAATTGACTTAAAGGAAAATGACGTCCTGGAATGCCCCCAATTGGGCTACAAAACGCGTTTTAAACGAAATGATATTAGATAGAGCGTTTAAAAGTAGGATGTAAACGTCCACACAACCATCCTGTAAAAACTAGGCCTTTTTGTGTTATTCTTGTGAGAACCATGCGAGAACGAATTTCGGGGGTCACAGTTTTGACTCTCAAAAGCTGTTGGGTGCTAGTTGTAAATCCTGCCGCACAAAGCATTGTATTCTGCGGACGTGCGAGAGACATTGTGTATTGGTGCTGTGTGTGTTATGTGACACACACATAGTGTAGCGTACATTGAATGGACACGGCTGGATATACGTATGCGTATATTGCCACAAAATGTCATCCGCGTCCGATTTAAACAACCGGTTTTCCCCGTCTTTTTTTCGAGAACGGTAAGACATTAGGTTTGCTAACTTTCGACCGGACCTTCAAATAGGATAAGCAAACAATCCAAACATAACATGTTGGGGGATTTCAGGCCGTAATGCCCCTTTAACTACTTTAATTACCTTTCCGTTGTCTTGACAACCTGAACCAACTGGCGCATGTCAACTTATTCAGGGATCTAAATAGCGTCAAAATACAGCATGAACCATGCACATGTGCAGATCACATCCCAACCGTAATTAATGCTCAGTGATGATGAACATTATGACACAAGGACATGAACGGATCACCACCGTGACCTTATGTAGCTAACATTTTTTCTCAAATATAAAAAAGTGGTTCGTTGTTTTGCATAATGTTTCTTCTTTAGAACAAAAAAATATTTCAATTTCTCTTGTCTGTGGCTTTATATTAAACAAGCTGATTTACACGATCATAGATCGGGTATATAGGGCGTAGTGTTGAGGATGAAAATGTGGGGAGTTAAATGTAAATGGGGCCTTGGGGGTTAGTTGAGAAGACATGCAGTTATAGAAAAGCAATTTTTGTGGTGTGATCTGAGGCAATTTCTGACCACTTAAACCAATTTGAGCAAAAGATCATCTTTTAAAATCATTTTCTAGCTTGGGATAATTGAATCAGCTACACGGTATTCTGAGCAATAGAATCATTGTAGTAGGCTACAATTTTTATTCGGGGAAGAAAAAGTGGGGGGGACCAAACAATGTCCCCGCTTTAAAATGGGGGGGGGGGGTCCCTCTGTTCCCCAACGATTTACGCACATGATAATTATGTACCATGACAACTGTCTGTAAATGTTCCCGTTGGTCTGTTAAATTGGCATTTTGTGAGGCAGTCGTATTGCCGGGAAAACGTAGTGAAAAGGTTACCGTAGTACACATGCGAAGGTTGATTGTACAGTTTTGACAATGAATTATAATGCAATCAAACGTGAAGTTGTCATTTACAATGAAAATGTTGAGTGTTACCATAAAATTACAAACGGTCTGAATGATGGAGGAAGGTCATAATTAAGTTTCAGTATTGGACTCTTCAACACACGTAAACTTGAACTTCTTACAATTTGCGAGACCGTCAGCGAGGAAAAAGTCGATTCAACTTTTATTCAAGTTGGTCAACCATCTATATAAGAGCAAGTTTTACTTGGCCTCCGAGAAATGTTCGCTCCTGAAAGGATCCGAGACCGGTCTCCCGCGACGCAAAAATGGCTCCACGTCCATAGAAAAATGTAGAAGCATAGAGTTAGTGGAAGCATGGAGCTGCAAACACATATCACGCGACGTCACATGCTTGTGCAAAAGCGAGCACCGTAGACCCAACCTCTTTTCAGGGTGTGGAGCAGGCTGCAAGGGCGGATCCAGGGGGGGGGGGGCAAAGGGGGCCATGCCCCCCCCCCAAAAAAAAACGAAACCAATCTTTTTTTTATTTTTATGTGACATCGCAATAAAGGCAGGCAATGAGTACACCACCATCTTTTCCTCAAAAAAACATTGGTTAAAGTGGTCAGAAATTGCCTCAGATCGCACCACAGAGCATCTAGAATCCAAAAAAATGTCGGGGCCCTTAAGCGGGCCCCGAACCCCACGCCGTAATTTTTTTGACCCACTTTTTGGGGGAACCAAAATATTGAACGCATTGCGTATGCTTAAAGAATTACCCACAGGTCCGGTTTTTACCGTTTAGGTCTGGCTCTAATCACTTACGCGATCCCCTGACGTATCATACACTGACTTTAGGCAAAATAGTCAGACTTTTGCGGTCTAGTAACCAGACTTTGACTCTTAACGAAACATCGAATGAAAAGTGAAACATCAAATGCATATTGCAAAAGATCGAATGCAAACATACCGATGAAACATCGAATACAAATAGCTGGAAATGTCGAACATATTTGTAAAACATTGCTCACATATTTGAAAATATTGCAAATATATTGTAAAAATCACACACAATTGTATCGAAAAACATCGCACATTTAATGCAAAACATCGAACATAACATTGAAAACATCGCACATATATATCGTCAAACATCGCACATATAAATTGAAAATCGCATATAAATGTAAAACATCGCACACATATATTAAACATCGCACACATAATGAAAAACGTCGCCCACTTATGTTGAACATCGCACATAAATGTAAAAGATAACAAACACATATTGAACATCCAACATATATATTGTAAAACATTGAATATTGCAACGTTTGACACGCCATACCTTTTAGCCTCGGGTAATTTTTTTTTAGATGAAATCGCTTGGCTGACAATAATGATAGCAAAAGGCTGTATAGTGGCGGACGGTATTCAGTTATTAATTCCTGGAGATAATCCATATACGACGCCAAAGTTTTATAAACATTGTACATGGTCAGGTTCACTAACCTTGAACTATGGTCCAAGGTTCAAGTGACGGGCCGGGACTCGCAAAAGGATGCATGCTGCAGTGCAGTACGAGGCCTACGTGCAATTTGGAATAGAGAGCACTAGCTGGTACACATGTACATGTATAACTCATCGGTCACCGATGCTTGACCACGCCGAATGTGTGGAAGACCCAACACATTTTGTTCAATTGCAGGAGCATCGGAAGACCATGGCAGGCTTCAATTACTGCACTCGTAATCTTGCCTGGTGGTTTCTGCTGTTAATGCTGGGTCTACTAGTCAAGTCATCGGCATCAGAACGTGAGAAAATGGGGTTTCTTTTACGATGAAAACTGAATGAGTGCTAGGTTATAATATGGGGCACAAAAGCCATGTTTGGTAATTTCTTTCAAGTTAATTATTGACATTTCATCTGATTTTTAAAAATTGTAATATCTGATCTGCTGTATTGGGATGAACATAATCAGTGTTCTCCTCGCTTTTCACGTGCCTCAGGGAGAACGTATTAATTACATTACTGTCATTAGGCCAAAAAAAAAAAGTCTCTGGTTTCTGGTATGCGCGCGCGTCGCCGTAGCCATGCGCTTCGGCAAAATGAAAAAGTGTTTTTTTCAATACAAGATGGTGTCTCAAAACCGCCAAACTCACTGGTTTGACTGGAATGCTGCTGCTGCTGCACAATTTTAACGTGTTTTTAGATGGGGTTATGATCGAGAATAAGCTTCATGTGGCCTCTCTGGACTCCCATATATTTGCACTAAGTTTAGTCGGGCACCATTTGCAGTCATCAGCCAAACAGGTAAAAAAAAAAAAAAAAGCCGCGTCGCCGCACCACTTTTGGGGCAAGCTCCATACCAGAAACCGGAGACTTTTTTTGTTTGGCCTTATATCGTATCTTTATCAAAGAGTGAAGTTGAAATGAAACTTTGTTCCAGTCATGGGATCGGAAAGAGGGTGTCAAAACTACCTTTTGATGGTTAAGGCCAAATGATTGCCAGCCTATAGTCCTCTTTCGTGGCCCGGCTGACACACTGACCCTTGACAGACTGATTGTGGCTTTTAAAGCCCGCCGCACACGAGGGCTACGTGCTGAGCAAAAAGTCATTCGAGGCCGTTTGCTCAGCACAAAAATCTCACAAAATCGTGTCCGGTTAAAGGGAATATATACATCATTTGCTTTTGCTGTAATGTTCAGAAATGGATGGAATTGGGGGTTGGAAATATATCGCAAATATAGTTGAACTGACTTTTTTGAGGTTTTGGGTTCGAAAATGCTATAAAAACCAAGAAAAACAATCATTTTCCTGTAGTAGGCAGGCCTTAGGGCTCCAGTGTTTAAGTACACTTTTGTTTACCCTGGCCGGGTTGAAATGTTATATTGTTCTTGTTTTCCGTCCCTCTATCTCCTCTCCCCTGTCAAACTGTCCACCCTCCCTTCCCTCCCCCCTCCAACCCATTCCTACTCGCATCAGTCTTCAGTCTTGTCTGGTCATACTTTTCAATTTCCATTTTTGTTTACTTTCTGATATATATTTGCTTTGTCATTGTACTTTTGTTCATTTGTTGGCCGAATAAATAATAATAATAATAATAATAATATTAGTCTGGTTCCCTGACTCCATATACGAAGAAACAGAGCAGTTTACATACATTGGGGAATTGTAAGGTCAGGGAACCAGTCTAGCTGGCTTGTACCCGTTCATAGGTGTGTAATCGATTGCAAACAAGTGCGATGGTCAATTGGGGCCAGTATTTGAAAAAAAGCAATTTTTTTCCAACGCTGGTCGGCCGACCAGTGTTGGAAATTGATACAAAAATATCACTTTTCTTGAAAATGACAGTATACCAGGTGCCATGATTTTACAGGATGCTTTACACTGTCATTCACTTACAGTCCAGCAAGGTATTTCAAAATGATTTGGTAGTTTTATTTTTTGATGTTTGCAAATGTTGTATTTTCCCTTTAAGTTGCTGAGTTTTCTGCCTCGCGAGGCCGTTAGGCAAATTCTCCCCCGTTCGGTTTCTTTCGCCTCGCGAGGCGACAAACTCACCGTGTGCGGGCAATCCTAGCTATCTGAGCCAAAAAGATTAACTAGCCAATGAAAGCACATTATTATTGTTTGTCGGTCGCGTGATTTAAAAAAAAAGAGAGGGGACAAGCACCAGCAGGGTCTAGAAGATTTGTACAAAAATATCTTAAAATCTCGCGTACAGAGAACATGATTTCATCGGCAAGTTAATCTTTTTAGCTCATCATAATGTAACTCATGTTGACCGCACACGGGGAGTTTTTCGTCAGGATAGATATTTGCCTCACGGCCTCGCAAGGCAGAAAACTCTGCAAATATTCACCACACACGGGGATATTTTGTGAGCTACGTGCTGAGCAAAACGGCCTCGAATGACTTTTTGCTCAGCTCTCGTGTGCAGGGGGTTTAAGTCACAGTCAGTCAGTGACTTTCAGCCGGGTCACCTGGGCTATACAGGCTGGCAATCCCTTGGACTAGCAAAAAGTTACTTTGACAACCTCGTGTGCGGCGGGCTTCATGTTAATGTTAAAGTGTCACCTTGGCTCAAACATTTTGACAAAAGATTACCCCATTACGCCAATGACATCTAGCCCATTGGGCCGCGCCAAAATAAATGAGAAGACTTCCAAGTTCCAGTGCATATCCGTTCTCGATCCATTGAATAAAATTGTCTGCACTCTTGATCACAAATAACTAAATAAGCAGTTTTAAACTTATTAAACAGAGTACATGGCGGAACTGTGTGGTCGTACGATTCATGCCGAGAGCAGTGGTGGTGTCCTGCACTCCCAGCGCGGGCCACATTACCGGAATAACGTCGACTGCACGGTGACCATTACAGCCGACCCAGGCCGAAAAATCCTGCTCACTTTCTTGTTCCTGGAAACCGAGGGGATAGCGCCCAATTGTCGTTCGGATTATCTTCAAATTTGGGATCATCATGATGGGGATGACCAGCCGGCGCCTGATCTAGCGAGTCTCTGTGATCGTTTCACGGGGAACGTTGTGTCGAAGACGAATGCTGTCTCTCTGTGGTTTGAGACTGATGGTAGTGTGACGTATCGAGGGTTTAAACTGGCTTACACATCCTTTAAGAAAGCTGAAAATGGTAAGGAGGTGGTCAATCTGTATAATAAGCCTAAGACCTAATGACGTCACGCTTTGTTTACATTGTGCGCTATCCTGTGTGGTAGACGGTTCCTGCTTCGTCTGGCGTCCCGACTTCGCTCCCATAGGAAAGCGCTTATGTAAACAAAGCCATGACGTCATTAGGTCTCAGGTCTATTCTTACCACCAATGGTGTGATGTGCTGTGGTGTCGTGGGGTGGGGTGAGGTATGTTGCGTTGTGACAATTGCATTGTATTGAATTGCGGTGTGTTTTATTACGTTGCGTTGTGTTGAGTTGTGTTGCGTTGTGTTGTGCGGTGTTGTGCGGTGTTGTGTTGTGTTGAATTGTGTTTGTGTTGTGCAAGGGCGGGTCCAGAACACAATTTTTTGGGGCCCCCCAAACAATTTGGTCCCCCAAAAAGTGGATCGTACAAAAAATTACGGCGTGGGGTTCGGGCCCGCTTTGTTGTGTTACAACAAATAACGGCCCCCGTTATCCGCCCTTGGTGTTGTGTTGTGTTGTGTTACAATGAGTTGTGTTGAAATGTCTTGGAGCCTATAGGTACTAAGCGAATCATTTTTATATTCTTGTCACACGTGCCCGTGAATTGTCTTGCGTTAGGCCTATTTGATCATGAATGTTTGACTTTTTCAAGGTTCTTGTGATCTGGGAGAGTTTCTTTGCGACAACTCCCGATGCATAGATTCCAGTCTCAAAGATGATAATTTCAACCACTGTGGTGACTACAGCGACGAACGTCATACTTTCAGTAAGTAGGCCTATACTACATCTTCACGACAAAGGCTTGAAATCAGCCTTACTGTCAGGGGCGCACCCAAGGGGGGGGGGGGGCCTCGTGGGGCTCGAGGCCCCCCAAAGAGGTTGTAATTTTTTTTTTAATTAGAAAAAATAAAAAAATTAGTCCCACGATTTCACCTTGTAGATGTATGTGGCCTATTTTTGAGTAGTAAAATAGGAGTGTAAGTGACGCCACCAACGTCAAAATAGGCCGCCCCCCAAAAAAACCCAATTTTTTTCTGCGGCCAAAAATTTTGGGCAACATTTTTTGAAAAAAATGTTAACTTGTAAAAAATTTGAGAAAAAAATTGTGAGCCCCCCTCCCCCCAAGCCAAATCCTGGGAGCGCCCCTGCTTACTCCTGGTCATAAAATAGCTCCGATGTGATTGAAGATACTTTCTGCAAACTGCATGTGGCTAATATTCAATTTGAGATTTTGAATGGTTCGCTCGAAATACGCTGCATCTGATGGCAGCCATCTTCGCTCGCTTAGTATGTATTAAAATGAGATTTTGTTAAGTTTTTTTTTAAATGTTGTGATTTTATCCCGCGTTACTTTTTTTCGTCAGCCTTAATGGAACAATTGTTTAGACCGCAAGAAACCTTACAACAGTGCTATCGTCATATAAACTACACCAACTTTCATTTTACTAAAGTTTTTATAGAAAGAGTGAATCCAATTATGACTATCTCTGTATTTTCATCTTGGTATCAACAGAGGCCATGGATCAACTGTGTGGCCAGACCATCACTGCGGGAAAGAACGCTGGTTTACTGCACTCACAAGCCGCCGAGCGGTACTCCAACAACTTGGACTGTACAGTGGCCATCCAGGCTGATTATGACCGAACGCTCCTGCTCCGATTTGAGTATCTAGACATCGAGGGGGACGGAGACGGGAGTGGTTGTCTTCATCGCGACGTCTTGATGGTCTATGACGGGGTGTCAGCTGGAACTGGAAATAGAACGTTGCTGTGCGGCACTCGGGCGGCTGATATCGCGACTAGCGGACGTGTGGCGACGCTCAGATTTAAAACCGATTCCTCTGTTGCGTATCGTGGATTTGTCATCTTGTACACATCAATTAGGACTCCCGGAGCTAGTAAGTGGATATAAAAATCGAAACAAACAAGCGTTGTACAGGGTGAGTCAAAACAAACGATACCCTAGTGTTAGGACCAATTTTTGAATACGGTTTTACCTGAAGCACTTTTAACATATGGGATATGAAAACCCAATCAATAAGCTTTCTTTTAGTATAAGAATCATTCAAATTACTCATGTACTTTTAAAGTTACGGAATTTCAAACACAAACACCGTTTTAATGTTCTGTTCACGGATCAAAAAAAAAGTAAGTGTTCTTTCAGCAAAACGAAAACAATTCACATAGGGATGTATGGGAATTGTTTTCGTTTTGCTGAAAGAACACTTATCGGTTTTTGGTTTAAAATTCCGTAACTTTAAAAGTACATGAGTAATTTGAATGATTCTTGTTCTAAAAGAAAGCATTTTGATTGGGCTTTCATATCCTAGATTTTAAAAGTGCTTTAGGCAAAACGTTATTCAAAAATTGGTCCCGCCACTATAGGGTATCGTTTGTTTTGACTCACCCTGTACACAACGATCATGATCCGCTCAATTACGGCATATTATTAACGGTACGGATCGCCAATAAGCCCAGCACATTCTACACTGTTGCAGACTAATGTCCATACTGCCTTTGATAAATGAAATCATTTCCCGATTTTCAGGTGATTGTTACTGGACTGAATTCAGGTGCACCAACAACCGCTGCATCAATGCAAACCTCACGTTCAATTCCTTCGACAACTGCGGCGACAATAGCGACGAGCAACATTTCTTCAGTAAGTATTCAAACTCATGTAATTCAAACCCACGGATGGATCTATAGAGGGCGCGATCCAAATGTTAATCACTGTTTCCAGAGGGCTCCACTGGTCAAAATGTCATCGCAAAACTTCTGGATCCTGGCTCCCTGCTGTACGTAATGAATGCGCGCGGCTATTGGTTACCAGCGATGTAACCGGACCCAGTAGGCTGGTTCCGAATAGTCGACTAGCGTAGTCAACCATCGTCGACTAGACAGAGTTCGGACTAACTTTAGTCGAACTATGGTTAACCATTGGTCAACAATAGTTCTTGCGCGAACTTGCCCAAGGATTAACGCTTGCCTGGGTGCGTTTTGGCGGTCATAACCAAGAATTGGTTCGGTGGTTTCTCTTTGATTAATTGTTTTGGGGATTTGAGTACTACATGATCATGTGTAATTCTAACCCAATTAAAATTGCCGAAGAAATTCACTGACAAGAAACTACCGAACCAATTCTTGGTTATGACCGCCAAAACGCACCCCAGTAGTCGACTGATGGTCCTTGCCCGAACTTGCTCCTTGTCTATAGACTTTTCTATCGCCGACGCGTGATTGGCAACCACGGGTTGCCAAACTAGGGAAGGCCCAACACTGCAAAAATGAGGAATAGTTATTGGTGATTACACAAAATTTTATTTGATTTTTAAAAATGCAAAATAATCAACTAACACACACAAAACAATTCCTAAACATGCCTTCTAATGAGTGTAGTGAGGACTTTTTTTGGGAAAAGTATGTTGCCAACGACGGCTTCAAGTTATGCCTCTGCGGCAGCCCATACAAAATGGTGCTCAATGTTTACAAACGAAAGAAAGGACTGTAGAGGATGGAGAAAAGCGTGAAAAATATAGAGGGACGTACATGTATATTTTTCACAGTTTATTGACCCGTCGATCTGTGATTTCTTGCCCCAGCTGTTGGTGGAGGGGACGATTCAATCATTACTACTCACTCTGACACAGCCTTCATAGTGGCTGCATGGGTCATCGTTGTCATAGTCATCGGTTGCATTGTGGGACTGGTGCTCATCGTCCTTTGCTGTGCTTTCATCTGCTACTTGGCCTGTAGGAGCAGCAACCGACCCGCACAGCAGCAAGCGTCGTACACCGCTATACCAGCGCCCCCACAGCAAGTTGGGGCACCGTCAACGGATTACAATCAGCAACCACCCATGGCCATGCACACTACGGGTCCTCCTGCAAATCCTCAGCCCGACGGACAAGCAGCAACCTACCCGCAACTGCATCCCGAGCCCAGCGAACAAGCGCCACCACCGTACGAAATCAAGTCTTAAACACTGCGTCATTTAAAAAAAAAGGACGAATGATAATCACAATTTGAAAAGGGGGAAAACCAAACAGTCAATGTAGCAAGAGGGCGCTCTTTTACGTGTTAACACTATCTAAGCTTCTATGGACCATGCCCTGTGACATCATGCCGTTATGCCCTGTGATGTCATGCATACTTTTGCATGTTATTTGACCCATAAACAGTTTATTATGTCAAAATTTTGTAACCTTTCATGTTTCAAGAGATATAAATGCAGTGCAGAAGAGACCGTTTGTTGAAAGATGAAATCACGTGACCACAACATCCACTTTTGTAAACGTCACATTACATGGTCTATAGTCAACTGTAAATAGTAGGTCTCATTATCCTAATATTAATGAAAACAATTACTTTTTTTCAATAAAATGTAAATGTTTAGGAGAGAAAACAAACACCAAAAATCGCAGTGGTCATTTTAGCCACCCTTGTGCGACAGAAAGTTGTGATTATTAATTTGTATCTGTTGGGTGTAGAATGTTTTCTAGAAGTTCTCAAAAATACGAGTCATCATAATATCCTACGTGACACTTTGAAGTTAACTCAAAGCAAACATGAATTTGATATAGGCCTTATTATTATATCATTCGATGTAAAGATCTTAAAATACTGTATAGGCCTAATGGCCACCAATTATAAAGGAATTATATCTTTTAAAAAATACATCTTTTATGTGTGTTTGTTTAGAATTTATAAGAAAATGAGTACTTAGGATTTGACTTTTGGACCGGTAATTAAATGCACTACTTTAATGTTCTTTCCGTTGCCTTGACCGAGACAGTCATGTAAAGTTTTTTGTGTGAACCATTTGGCGGATAACAACATCAGGGATTTAAATACCGTGATCCCTTGAACATTATATGTATGGTGCAGATCACGTGCTCGGTGATGATGAACATTATATGACAAAACGACATGACACATAAGCAGATCACCGTGATAATAATATCGATCGTGAATTTATGTAGTTAAAAATACAGAAAGTGTAAATTATGAATTCATTTTTGTACTCAACTGTATAAAACTTGTTCGTTGTGACTTCTTTTAAAATAGGTATTTCCACTTTTCTTGTCAATGGCAATAATGTAATAATGTGTTGAATGCAATGCAAACGGAGCATATTTCACCAAACTGAAACTGTGCTTGTAGCATATCAGTGGCGTAGCCAGGAATTTTTCAGTGGGGGGCCGCTGGGGGGGGGGGGGGGGGGGGGCTGGAACATTTCATGGAGGGGGGGGGGGGCGTCATGTAGATCAATGATAATTTTTTTAGAAACTCAAAATCTCAGTGGGGGGGGGGGACAAGGTTTCATGGGGGGGGGGGGCGCCCCCAACGCCCCCACGCCCCCGCCCCCACGTGGCTACGCCACTGACCATTATGTAACTCATGGATAACTCACTCTGTATGCCTATACTTGGAAGTTTCCCGCCATGATACCAAACGTTTTTAACGGGGTAGTTCAGTATACTTACGGTGGGTAAATTAGATGTGGCGATATCAGAAATTGATATAAATAGCAATCTCCATCTAGTAATCGCAGACAGATCCGTGTCGCCGCACGCCCGGCCATCAGAAGCCAGAAAAGATACAGTTTGCATACCCGACCCAGGCAGGTGCAGCACATGCCCCCACCCATAAAAGGGTCAGAAAAAATGGCATCAAGTGGTTTTGAACTTCTGGAGGTATCTATTAGATCCTGAGAGTTTCAAAGAATGTACCCGAAAATGCACATGTCTTGAGATGTCATTTTCGACCGTAAGCCCACTGACTAGTACGCCACACCGTGAACACGCGTTACTCTAGCCTTTCGCCCAGGCCATCGTGGCTTAGAGCGGCGGAGTTGCGAATACCCGAAGCGACTGGAGCAAAGATTAAGTCAGCACGCACGAGTGGCAAAGCCACGAGGCCTTTCCCAACTTAATTTTGTTTAATTATTCATAGTTTTTATATGCAAATAAGAAGAGTGCTGAAGGTTAACCAATCACAACGCGGATTTTGCCTAGTCGCTTCCATTTTTAAAAGAAGGGTGAGTAAGGAAAACGTAAGAGCAAATAACTGTAAGTTCAGATGAAAAATAAGTCAATACACTAAAATAATTTCTTGAAATACTTCTATAAGTAAAATCTAAATAAGATAATGCAAGAACAATTACGCGGTCACAATCTCGTGGAAAACTAGACTCCCATTTTATGTTTTTAAATTTTGTGCAAGCATCCGGGCGCGTCGACGCGTCTGGGTAGAAGCCACGCACGCACTAAAAGGCAGATGATTGGTTGGAATTTTGCTACCCTTTTGGGGCGGTGAAAATCGAGATTATAAAGAAAAACAAGAATTTCTCGACAAGTTAGAAAAAACCCTCGTGGCTTCGCCACTCGCGTGTGTGGTCTCCATCTCCAGTCCCTTCACGGTTTCGCCGCTTTGAATGCGGGCAAGTTAAGCCACGATGGCCTTGGTGAAAGGCTAGCGTTACTCAGAACGGGAAATCCCTTGAACACGAAACCTTAAGGAATTTGGCAGACACCCAATCATTTTTATTACAATATGTAAATGACATTGCTCTTGTTCGTGGTACGGTGAGAACATACATGTACATATACCAGCAGTACGCCCACGCATCAAGTACAGTGCAGTATGTGTTCTGCTGTTGAACCTCACACAGCGAACATCATGGCGGAATTCAAGCATCGTGGAGTCTTTGTCTGGAGCTTGCTGCTGACGTTACTGTACGCGGCAAACGCACAACTGTCTTCGTTGGAGGAGGCAGGGGAGAATTTTGGTAATGTTCCGAGCCCACATAGGCCCTATTTAATTATTGAATGTTGTAGGAGGAGTGGGGGTAAGCAGTTCGTAATCTCAAGGCAGAACATGGCACATTTATTACGACGTACTGACAAACCCACTTGTGCAAATGATGCGGATTGGCAAACATGAGATACGAATTTGCAATTATGCTTGGCATTTTGGCAACCCGGTAAAAAAAGGTGTTCATGTTATTGGTGCATTTTAAACTATAGGTATATAGGATCATTTGTTTTTATTTATGCACTATGTTCGTTTTAATAATAACACCGCTCAAAATCTAAAAAGAAGATTGCTCAGAACCAATTAAACTGGCTACACACCTATGTTCCAACACCCCTATGTTCCGACTACACATATTGCTATACCTAACCCTAACCCTATTAAAGGCCAAGTAAAAAAAAGTTTAGCGTCCTGCTTTTTGAAAAAAGGGAAGGAGGAGGCCCTTATTTTTCCCTTCCAAAATGGCCGCCCGACTGGTCTATTATTCAAGATGGCAGCCAGCTTTTTTTTTCTCAAATGGCCGCCACTTGGACTCAGGAATGACATACCAGCTTTATATGGGCTAGATACAACAGACAAAGAGGCCAGAATGATGTCACTGTTTAAAATTTATCATTTTTCGTGTTTAAAAAAGAAAAGAAAAAAAGAAGGCAGCCTCCAAAGGAAGCGGGAGGGGACGCTAAACATGTTTTTTTTTTATTTGACCTAACCGGGAGTAACACCATCTTATGTGTGGGTTGTCGAACATAGAGGTGATGGAACATTGGGGTGTCGGAAGATAGAGCAACTTCGCCTCAGCTCAGTGGGTAAACCTTTCGAGAAAACAGTGGAAAAGCCATGCATAATATCTTAATGTCCAGCGCTCTTTATTCAACTTGACTGATCGTTGAAATTTGAAAATAACTAGGCCTACTCCCATTGCTTGATTTCTTCTAAATGACTACATAAGTCCTTGCTCCATGATGACAGCAAGCCAGACTAAATAGGTTCATAGGGTGTTTGGTGTCAGTAATACGATCTCAGTGAAATGAACTATTTCATAATAATTAGGTATAGGTTGCTTTTGGGATAAATGCAAATGAGTCTGGAGCAGTGACACTTTCTATAACACTGCAAATTCAAAAGGAAAATTCTTATTACAAAGGAAGTTTCCCCTTTGAGAACAAAACACCGCACATCCTGACAAAGAGCAAGCATATCCTGATTACACTGGATCACTGGTGTACGTGTCAGTCGGTCATGTGTCGGTATCGGCAGCGTATCCAGCTGTTGATGTCAGGGGGGCAACCGCACATCCGCGCCGAAATGCAGACATGTTTTTTTCTCCGGACACTTGCTCTCAGATTATCATTTTGGTAAACATGTGGTAATTGTTCGAATTACATAGGTTTTTGGAGTGATTAAAATGATATGTTTTAAACCTATTTCTAACATTCTTTTAACATTTTACATTCAATTGATCAATTCAATAAATTGAGGCATGCATGTGAATAAACTGAATAACATATTCGTTGCATGTGTCATCACGAATGAACACGCTCGACATTGTCAAGGTGTAAGCTCTATGCGTCAGTGACGTCATTGGCCTGTGCATCATTTTAATGTGTTTTGCGGTATCCATCGCCTTGACCTTTGGCGCTGCGTTGGTTTGGGAAATTCCAACTGCGCGCTAAAGGAGAGTTCATGGGGAAACTTCCATAATAATGAGAAATCGATATTAGGCAAAAAATAAATAAAAAATAGTCAGTCTCTGGTCAGCACGCGCGTCGATTTTAAAGGGAGTACTGCGTCCTGGAACATCCCAATTGGGCTACAAAACGCGCTTTGAACGAAACGATGTTGATTGGAAAACATTTAAAAGTAGGATATAAACATCTACACAACTATCCTTTAAAAACTGGCGTTTTTGTGTTATTCCTGTATCATGCATGCGAGAACGACTTTCGGGGTCCACTTTGGGACCCCCTAAAGTCGAGCAGTTTGGGTACTATTTGTGATTTCATCCGTGAAGTGTTCGCCTTTTGCGGACGTGTAAGAAACCTCATTTTGTGCATTGGTGATTGGTCACCGCTGTTCGCGAGCACGGTGTAGCTGTAGTCTGGTTCCCAGACCTGACAATTATTCCCGACGCTCACGTCTAAATTGTAGGTCAGGCAGCCTCCGTGGCTAAAAGTAAACATGACCACATTGACGGCCCTTTTTAAAAACTCGGCTTTGTTTTCCGATTCTCTCTTCCTTCATAATATCATACAGTTATTATAATACAGTTTGATATTTCTGTAAGAAGCATTGTCTGATGTTGACCTGAAATCTTCAAAGTTAGGCACCCAAATAGCACTGTTAGCAGGCGGAGCCGAATGAGGACCACACCGAGTTTTGGAAAATGCCGCTATAACGGTCGTAAAATTCAAAACAGTACATGACGCAGCAAAAACTTCGCCCCTCGTATACGATCCGAGTACAAAATCGTCGTTGAATTTCAAATTTTCTAACTAAAAGCAATGAATATTAATTATCATCTCGTTTCTAATAAGCAATTAGCAGTTAATAAAACCTATGTTATACTCGGGCGCTATCCGATTGTCGACAAAACGAATTCGGCAAACTTCGGAAATTTTCGGAAAAAGGAGGAATTCCTCCCGTTTTGGTCACGTGACGTTATTTGTAATACAATGTATTACCAGAGGCTACCTGACATAAGAGTCATCAGGAATACGCAGAATCATTTGGTCTGGGAGCCAGACTAGGTGTAGCTGTATACAGTGTTGTAGTCGAGACCGGATAGTCCGAGACCGAGACCAAGACTGAATCTGCCAAAGATTACTGACGAAAATATGCTGTGCGCAGATCCAGAAGATTTTATTGTCTTGTACAACTTCTGACAGTTTTGGTAGTCGTACACTTGTCAGGCTCAGGTATAGGCACAGATTGACTACAATAAATAAAATGGAAAATAAAATGTATGTGTTACAAGAAATTACATGTATCAAGAGTTTGTGTAACCTAATTAACAGAATCAGCTCAAATTACATATCACCTACATGTACATGTACTATATACACATGCACACAAATGTCCAAACTTAAAGCAATGTTTATGAAAATACACGTGTGTGTAGACCCATACAATGTACAAGGACAGATGAGTTTATCGGCCATGACCTAAATGCAAGAAGGGTTTATGTACACCCTGTATGATACTTGTACATGTGCTTAATAACAAGATCCAAAATAACATGCGTTGAAAATACATGTACATTTGTACATCTTTTAGGCTTACAAAATATCACTAAATATCACATTAATTACTGACTCATTGATATAAATTATTTAAGAGTAACCAACCGTTTAATAAACCTTGGCCAGTTAATGCTTTGGGCGAAGAATTCCACAGGTTGCAAATTCTGTCGTCATTGACATGATTGAGCTGAAGCCATGTTGCTTTTTGCTTAGCTCCCGTATTCCCGCAACAGCGCCCTCACTTGGCAAAACAAAAATAAGAAATCTATCTGAGTTTGGCCGCTACAAAGACCGAGACCTGAAGCTGCGAGACCGAGACCGAGACCGAGACCAGCCCCTTCAAGGCGGACCGAGACCGAGACCGAAATGGTCCGAGACTGAGACCGAGACCGAGACCGCGGATAATAAATAACAATAATCTAAATAAACAACAAGACACTAATTACAGCTGAACAGTCTGTCCTTGAGATGTTGATGTTCATGGGGATGTGAAGGAAGTGATTAAAAGTTAGGAATAACTTGTAACTGTTTAATTGTGTCATGCAAGTGCTCTTCGTGTTTGCTTCATGCCATAAATTACAACATGGCAACAGAGCTTGTTATTGTCACAATCAATTAAAAAAATATCGTTTAACTACTATAAAATGTATATCTGATGAAGAAACTCTAACTTAGGAGTACGACAATTTGTACTAGTTTTTGCAAAACTTGAACATGTTGAAACTTGACAAAAGTAAAAAGTTAAAGGTGGATGTTTCATCTGTTATAGGAACTCGGACCCTAAACTCCAGAGCCATCCCTTGGTTTCAGCAATGACCACTAACGGATATTTAAATGCAACTTTAATTTTACATTGGACCTCCTTGTAAACCTGATTCGAAAAAAAATTTGGAGCAAGAAAATTTTGATTTATGTAGACCAATTTTTTTTTTAGAGATGGTAGCCAGATATGGATTGGTCTGGGCCCCCCCCCTCCCTCTTTGTGATTCTCCTTCCAACCCTGCATGTTTGTGTGTCCCCTACATGTTTGTTTCTTGTTCCTCTGTAATTTACCTCTGAAGAAGGCCTGGCTAAGGCTGAAATGTAATGCCACTTTATTTTTGTTAAATGTCAATAACGTTACATATACTATAGAAGATCGATGAACCATATTTGCCTGATCTATCTTCTGTTCATCTGCCCGCCGTCATCATCGTCATAAGCCTGGCCGACACAATAGAAGGGCGCTGTAACAAACTGAATGTGGTGGGCGAGATGCACTTTTAGGATGCAAGGCTCAGGTGCACGCCTCTCTGTGTTTTGTACCGTGCCAGCGTATCGCTCGCATCGGCTACTTCGTCGGGCAATTTACTTGAGTATTTTAGTGACAAGTACGACATTGCCAATATTCTAATCGCTTATTGTGGTGGCCGTAAACATCATTAATGAAACAAAAGTCTTCTCGACTCATGCAAACGCAATTGACATTTAGGAAGGAGACGAGGCAGGCAATTAGACTCTAGAGAGGCGTGCGCACTGAGCCATGAATCATAAAAGTTCATCTCGCCCACCACATTCAGTTTGTTACAGCGCCCTTCTATTGTGTCGGCCAGGCTTATGACGATGATGACGGCGGGCAGATGAACAGAAAATACACAATCTGACGGTGAAAATAATGTTTCAGTCTTGATTCATAAGATTTAAATCTCATTTGTATTTGGAATCAATGAGGATGGCTATAAAGTGCTTGTTTCAACATATCATCCCACAATAAAAACGAGAAATTAGAAGAGGAGCAATGGTTATTGGACTATGCCTCACTCACTAGAAAGTGAAGAGAGACATGTCCATTAGCATCACACTGCAGTCACGTTTGCCCTAAATGGATTCTTTACTTATACCTAAAAGGGCCGGGGGCGGAATCCGCCCGCCCCCCCCCCACTTTTTGGCTGGTCTCGACTCGAGACCAGCCAAAATATCGAGACCAAAGGGGACCGAGACCGAGACCAAGACCGAGACCACAGCTCCCGAGACCGAGACCGAGACCGAGACCGGCAAAAAGTGGTCTCGAGACCGAGACCGAGACCGAGACCGGTCTCGAGACCTACAACACTGGCTGTATACGAACACGCCAAATCGTTAGAATAGACACACACACACACACATCCACCCACCCACACATGTAGCACATCGTACATTGAACGACAGCAAATAACGTACTCGTACTGCGACATGTCCGATGTAAACAACCGGTTTTTTTCGGGGTTTTTTTCTCAGGAACAGTAAGACATTAGGTTGGTTTCCTTTCAACCAGATGTTTGAAATAGGAAAAGTAAACAATCCAAAACATGAAATTTTCGGGGATTTCAGGACCTAGTGCCCCTTTAATCATACGCGTCAATCTTTTTTTCCCTTCCAATTTTCCGCGTTAGCTACAACAGCGCCCTCTATTGCCACACCTCCTCAAAGTTCTGTACCAAGGAATTGGGAAATTGCACAAAGGCAAATTATGGAGGACACCAATGTATATGAGGTCGAGGACACAAAAAAGCAAAATAGTACCCACCATGTCTGTACAATCCAAGCTTGGAAGCTTGGAAAAAAATACAAAAAAAATAAATTAAAACGCGTCTCCGCATCAATTCCGGAATTTTGGTCTGACCAGAGACCGACTAGCCTATGTTGTTTTTTTGGGCCTTAAAGTCGTGTGAAGTCCTACATCAGAAGCTGCTGTTTACATTTTTTAGGGGGCACTTAAAAATAACTTAGTGAAGAATGTCTTTTATACAGTCATAAGGACTCCAATCTGATCTTCAATAATACTCGGAAGTGCTTTGCGATAGAAAGAAATTCATGAAAAATGTGTGAAAATTTGGAATAAACATTCATTATATTTCCACAAAATGTGAGATTTTATCTCGGGGGAGTGGGAATGTCTTTTTTTGGGGGGGGGGGGGGGGGTTGGAGTGGAAATTTCTCTGTAGCTTGCTAGATGCATTTCACCTGGGATTTCACAAATTGTCTTTCTGTAGTTCACAATTACATGTACATGTATACTTACACTTTTTTCATCCTGTAACGTATAGCCTCAATGATTGGGCCACAATTCAGTCATATTGTTTTCTATTTTTCCTATCTCCTATTTACTTTTTGGGCTGATAACGTAACTGGCAATTGCAGGGCAATTTCAATGATTGCATTGTATGTAACGCATAATACATCTTTGACATTTTGTAATGCGACACAGACCAATGTAAACACTCTAGCTGACACGTGTCATAAACGTCTGCTCTGCTTTCAAAACCGATCGTTAGAATCGAACGTATTGTGAACGATACGGCAGTGGCGGCGCCAGACTCTGAATGGGGGGGGGGGGGGGGGGGATTGGGGGCAATGGTACTGGCACCCGCTCAAAAATTATCTCTACATTGTTCCTATCATGCAACTTCCAAACAATGTCAAGTTTATACTAGCCATATTGAAATAGCTGAGGTGACATTAACTGGGCCGCTTAATAAACATCGTTGGTTTTGGTACAAAAAAAACTATGTGGTTCAAATAGGGCACATTCACGTCGCACTGTTGCTAGCCTGCGTCTGATGGGTTGGAATGGACTTTGCACGGCAAGCATAATTATGTGTAATGCTAATACAAAAGGAGGGGAAAAGATCATAAGCAAAACTAACAACTCGCATAGCGTATTTGCCCGTTTCCTTTCGTATAAATGTAACGTTGCCACAGCCCTGACATATAGCTCTGTTGTTGATGGCCCCTTACGTGGCGTGGCCCTTAAACGTGGCTCGCTTTAATTTTTCACCTAGCGCTTTGCTAGAGCAAAGGTTTCACCATACATGTCGCAGTAAGTGAAATTTCTTCAGCTGCAGGCTCTAAACATTCCCGTTCATACATCGTGAGTTTATCTACCCATTACAAAGTTAGCAGAGATATTTATTTTGGCGTGATTTTTCGATTTTATTTCGAAGTGCACACTGAACCTTTGACAATGCGCTCAAAATTAAGAAAATCATTTTCCGACATACTTCTCGTTGGGTCAAGGGCGGATCCGGGGGGGGGGGGGGGGGCAAAGGGGGCCATGGCCCCCCACAAAACGAAACCAATTTTTTTTTTTTTATGTGACATCGCAATAAAGGCAGGCAATGAGTACACCACCATCTTTTCCTCAAAAAAACATTGGTCAGAAAAACAAGTGGTCAGAAATTGCCTCAGATCGCACCACAGAGCATCTAGAATCCAACTTTTTTCGGGGCTTTTAAGCGGGCCCCGAACCCCACGCCGTAATTTTTTGTACCCACTTTTTTGGGGGACCAAATTTTTTTTGGGTCCCCCCCAAAAAAATTGTGTTCTGTATCCGCCCTTGCGTTGGGTATGTGAGTAGGGATAATAATGGTCCATCCGAAATCTTCAATGTTAATTTGGGATTTTCCGAGGCTTGTTCAAGTGTGCCACGTTAGGGAACACTCAGCCGATTGTGTGCCCAATTTCCGGACGCCACCGTGACCGTTTTTTAAACTTTCATGACACTGAAATAAATTATTCACAAAGGTTCAACAGCAAGCATTAAAAGGTAAAAGTACCCAGTATTTAACTGAATGAATTTAAAGTTTGTCAACAAGGAAGTTTGGCAATACTGCATGAGTAAAATTGGGGGAAACGTCGAAGTGCGCCACGTTAGGGAACACCACTATATTAATGTGATCCAAATTACAGTACACATGGACCAACACTGAGATATACAAGCGATCAGTAATTAAACTAAAGGGTTCATGCAATGTAATTTGTTTTAATGTTATCAATGCACATTTGTGTCCCATTTAATCTGAGAATCAAATTTTGTTGTTACAATCTGTAAGGGTATTTTGGTGCCTCTTTGGTTTTAATGCTAATGCGAATTTCCATACTCATGAGCAAAACTGTGATGTCATTCTGGTTAGAAACTTCAATGTTACAGCTATTGCAACACCAGAAAAGGTGCTAGAACTTTGAATATTTGCTGTCATGAAATTTCTTTGGTGATTCCTTGTTGTATAAGTGCATGGCATGCAGTAAGCCAGTGATCAACCATTTTGTTTTTAATGAGCAAATTTTGGGTTAACAATTTGAACAGAAAAGCCCCAAAATGAACAGTGTCTTCCTGAAATGACATCGCAGCAAGAGCGCTCTCAGTTGTCCGGAAAAGCGTGGACAATTTTAAAAATTAAAAAAATTGCACTTTTCGATAAAATGAACCTTAAAGGGATGTCAAATAGTTTTCATACATTTAAGAGGAGTAGAAAGTTACACAAAATGTGTTCCTAAGAATACTTTACGCAGAACCCTTTAAATCATTGTTACGCACTTTATAGTTTAAAGGGTTCATGCGATGAATTTTTCTTCGGAACACATTTTGTGCAACTTTCTACTCCTCTTAAAATGTGTGAAAACTAATTTACATCCGTTTTTGGTTAATTTTATTGAAAAGTGCACTTCTTTAAACACTTAAAATGTTCCATTGTTTTCCGGACAACTGAGGGCGCTGCTGCTGTGTGATGTCATTCCAGGAAGACACCGTTCACTGTTTAGGGGTTTTCTGTTCAAATCGCGAACCCACAATTAATTTTGCTCATTGAAAACATTTAATGACAAAGGTTTTCTCAGTGGGTCACTGCCATGTACTGACAAAACAACGATTCACCAAAGAAAAGAAAAGTTACAAAATAGGCAAAATATCCAAAGTTCTAGCACTTTTTTGTGCTGAAATAGCTGTAACAGTGAGGTCTCTGCCTGGAATGACATCACAGTTTTTCTCATGAATATGGACATTTGCATTGCATAAAAAACAAAAAGGCATGGAAATACCCTTGAAAATGGCAAAACGAAAATTGACAATAAGGTTAAGTAGGACACAAAGGTCCATTTTCAAATTACATTGCATGTGCCCTAAATTGTGATGTCTTATGTTTGCCTTCCAGTGGACAACTACTTTCATAATGACGTGCAGGACACAGTCCACGATGTCGTATCCCTCAGCGTTGGTGTGATCATTGCCATCGTCGTGGGCTGTATCTTGCTCCTGATCTCATGCATTTGCTGCTGCTACTGCTGCTGCTGCAGGAGCCCTCCTCCAGCCCAGCAGACAGTCATCGTCGCCCAGTCCGCACCAGCGCAGTCCACCGTGGTCGTAGCTCAAGCTCCCCAGGCAGTGTACAACCCCCAGCCCATGGGTCCACCGCCCATGCAACCACCGGTCGGCTACGGGCAACCACAGGCGGGCTATGACGGGCCGCCACCCTACCCGGGCCAGCAGACGGGATACGGTTACGCCAAACTCTAAATTTGCCACCCAGAGCTGCATGCATGTTAATTTTGCTCGTTTTCCATCGGGATCCACTTTTTAATATCCATTTTTATAAGAGGGAACTAAATGGAATTAAGATCAAAAAGACGAAGCAGCTAATTTCGTTTATGCAGTGTAGTTGACTGTGATAGTTAGTCAGTTACTATACCCAATTGGCGATGCCAACTTTTTATGTTTTTCTGGTCATTTATTCACCAAATAAGTAATTTTTAATTACAGCATGACTTGTGGGGTTAAGGAGTCCTTTCATAATTCTTAAATATAATTTTTACTATATATTAATACATTAAAGTTATCACACTTTTGCTTTAGCTTTTTTAATACATAGAATACATCCATGATTTAATCTGATTGATAAGATTCTTGACCTTGGTTAATCATCAAGTGTCTTTTGGTTACTTTCATCTCGATAGTTAGAAAATATCAGATGACAATTTTATTTGGTTAAAGACCTGTTGACGATATGCCTAGTCAACTACCAAAACGTTTTAATTCAAGTAATTATTGTCGTGAGCTTTAATCATAATATTTAAGTCAACCTTTATCTGTCATTTCCTTTGATCTTCTTTTTCCTCGCATACTCATTGCAACTTAAAGATATAGTCCATCATTTTAAAATTATATAGATATAGTCCATGTTCGTTTGAATCAACAAAAGTGCTCAAAATCTAAAGAAGGGTACTGAACAACTAACCTGATGAATTTTCAGCTCAGCTTCAGCTGTATATTCCGAGAAAAACAGTATTCTAGGATCTCAATTTCAAATCAAAAGTTGCTGAATCATGTTTTAAATTGGGCCTGAATGCAGCGTCCGAGACACGTTCTCACTGAGCCGATTGCAGCTATGCGATGTCGCGCACTGATCTGACGAATTATTGCAACCGTGCATGTGCGTGCGTCGTGTCAACGCTTGCGCGCGCTTCGCCGAATAACAAAACGAACTACTAATTTAAATTTCCCACGGTGTGTCTTAAGAAGCACCGTTGGAAAGGCTTTCTTTCATTGATTACTTCAAAATGACAGCTTGCCAGAAAGAATAATTTCACAGGGAGTTTAGTCCCCTTACTATCTTTCAACCATGTATGTTTTTCAACAATAATTACGCCAGTTACTTTTCGGATAGCTGCAATGATGGACTATATAGCTTTAATTCATTATAAATTACACCTTAAGAACTCCTACCCCCGGGTGATGCTGATTATAATAGCTTTTGTGAGTGGACGGTGGGGCGGCGGCGGTGAAACTTTGAATCTGCCAAGCAGAAAATGGCTGCTGTCTTGTTGCTGGCACAACTATTACTGAAGCTTCACATGTCTCCCTGTACGTCTTGATTGTACAGGCTTCAGTGAATTTTCCATTGTAATTATGATTTGCATTTTCATGGTTATGTAACCACGTACTAAATGGGATTCAGCTTTCTGCTTTGTTTCCTGTGATTCTTATGTAACTACCATGTGCAGCTCACAACTCCTGTTGGGTTGTGATGCACTCAATTAAATGACCATTCATTCATAAATTTCATTAAGTGTTACTTAATTTATTTTTTGTTGCTCAGGACTTTATTGGAAACAAATCAATCAGTTTTTGGAAGAGGTTTTATTTGCCTGTCACTGTCAGCCATTTTTCTCAAAAAGCAACCATATCTGAGGACAAGCAGACTATTTGGGGCCCTTAAACCTGTAAAAACAACATTACACGGTCTCTAGTCAACTTTAAATACATGTCATGTTGTAGGCCTTATATTATATATGGGGGTGCTGTGGTCCAATGGTTATGGTGTTCGACTCGTGTGCCGTGGTACATGGGTTCGAATCCTGAACGTTGGAACATGGTGCTTGCGCTCCTGAGCAAGGCGCTTTACCATTATTGCTTCGTCCTTCAGATGGGACGTAAAGCCGTAGGTCCTGTGTGTTGTGTAATGCACAAAAGAACTCATTAACACTTATCGCTAAGAGAAGGGGTTTGCCCCGGTGTTTCTGGCAGTGGCTGCTTAATACGCCGCAGCACCTTGTAAACCATTATAAAGGTGCTACATAATGGTTCTCATATTTTTCATCTTAAAATACTTCATTTACCTGTCTGTAATAATATACATAATATCCAGCGCCTTGAGTACCTAATTGTTGGTAGATACGTGCGCTATATAAGACTTCGGTATTATTATTATTATTATATTATTAGCATATGTATCCTATTACTGTTTTTTTTTCAATAAATATAATAAATGTATTACTGTTTTTTTTCCAATAAATGTATTCGTTTGGGAAAAAATACAAATAAAACACAAAAAACCGCCTTTGTCATTAGGAGTCTGCATGGTAAGCCACCCTAATAATCGGGTTGCAGAAAGTTTATCATGACAATTTTATCTGCGGAGTGTAGAATGTTTGGATACGAGCCATGTAACCTATATAAAAGCAACTTCAGAGTGAACATGAATTTGATGTGTTTCGTTTCAACCATCATCGTGTACGAGTTAGTGAGTGACACTGTTGAATAATGATTTTAAAATACTGTATTAGGTTAATGGCTATCAATAATAAAGGAATTATACACTTTTTTACATTAAAAAATACGTGTGTTACGTGTTTTTGATCAGGATTTATAGGAAAATGAGTTGCTTTGAATTTGGCTTTTGGAAGGGAAATAAAATGCAGTTAACTACTTTAACGATCTTTCCGTTGCCTTGACCAAGACAAGACAGTCAACCAACTGGCGGATGTCAACATATATACAGGGATCTAAATAGCGTCAGGATACACCGTGATCCCTTGAACATTGCGGGTTCAGATTACATCACAATGCGCTCGGTAACAACATCATCCATCCGACATGACACATGAACAGATCGCCATGTTGCATCGATCCTGAACTTATGTAGTTAGCTAGCTTGTTAGCTTGTTCCATCCCAGGGTCCGAAGAAGCATGATAGTACACAACAGTACTTCTCAGGTGTCCAGATGACACGTCTGCTTATTTTTTTAAGTCAAATTATCGTTATTGTGCAATTCATGACAAAATCACTCCAGATCTGTACTGTATAGGCCTAATTGATGTTTCCCGGGATGATATCAAACTTTGTACTATCCAGGGAAAGTGGTAGGCCTACCCGACCTTTTACAACTTCTGGGTTTTTTTTCAGTTAGGGGTAAACGAGTTGTGGACATTTCAGGTTAATGGGAAAAATTCCGGAATTGATCCAAATAGTAATCTTCAGACAGATCCCCTGGACGAAGCCTGTCTCTCCCCCCCCCCCTTAGGCCCCGCCTGGAAGACAGGAAATAGGTTTTATTGTTTGTATGCCTGCAGAGCCCACAAGAGACACGGGGCTGCGGCACATTCGACCCCACGCGTCGTGCGCCGCGCGTAAACTCAGAACAGGAAATCCCTTGAACATGAAACCATGAGGCATTTGGCAGGCATGGACCAAATATATTATTACTGTATTGTTATCATGTACATAAACGACATTGTTCGTGTCGATCGTCATGTCTATGGTGTTCGTGGTGTACACGTAACGCCCACTCATCATCAAGTACAAGTACACGCAATCTGCAGCTGCTGTTGAACCTCACACAGCGAACATCATGGCGGAATCCAAGCATTGTGGAATCGTTGTCTGGAGCCTGCTGCTGACGTTACTGTACGCGGCAAACGCTTCACAAGGTAGGACATTATTGAAAACCCAGGAGCCGAATACCGGGTAATGTTTCGAGCCGATATGTAACTGAATGTTAATATAATTGTAGCAGGAGTGGGGGAAATTAATTCTTAATCTCAAGGCAGAACATGGCACATTAGACATACATGTACCACACCCAGTGACAAACCAACGTAAAAGTTGCAAATGGTGGATTGGCACACGAGAGATACTAGACCATGTCCCCCGCAGGCGCGGCGAGGCGTGATCAACCACGCTTGGTCACCCTTCCCGGTAAAAAAGTTCTCCTCGCTTTGGTGTATTTCTGTGGTGTATTTCTGTCCACCGTTTGCCTATTAAAACTAGGCATGATATAGGAGCATTTGCTTGTTGGGTGATCGGACACAACCCGATCTCCGTTTTAGAAGTCTTTATACACCTATAAATTGTTTCCCCCCTCCCCCCGGGCTGCCCCACCCAAGACGTGGGGACTGTCACTTTTGAAGTGACAATACCCCCACCCCTCGGGCAAATTTTAGTGACAATCCCTAGTGTTTGCGCACTAGTGATTGCCTTTCCGTGTAGTACGCCAATGGTAACAATGTTTTTGAGTGACCAAAATCCCCACCCTGGGGGCATGAAAAACGTGACCAAAATCCGACATCGGACCTGGGGAAGCGGGCGGGCGGGTAAGGGGAGGGGAAGGGGGTACATTTTGATAGGCGCATTACTATAAATAAATATATATTGGGCTCAACCCGATCACCGTCAATTTAAAATTGCTCGAGTTAAATTTCGATTTAAATAATTCTGTGCAACTTTTCTCCTGAACGGTATAAACATAAAACAAAGATCAACCCTGATTCCGAGTTGTGCATTTTACTCTAACGTCATGATGACGTCATTAAGTATCACATTAAAAGCTTAGATTTTGACAAAATGGCACTTTCTTTCACTTATAACTCTTGAACAAAATGATCAATCATGTTCATCATTAATTGATAAACATTTCTTTCCGGAGCTACCAGAAGGTCAAATTTAGGTTAAAATAATATAGACATTCGCCTCAAATCCAAACAAACCAAAATTTCTTCAAAACGGTACACGAGATGATGATAAAAATTTGGTATTAACTTAATGTCAAAATCTGAAAACAATACTTTGAACAGTAACTTTTGGATTGAATAAAGTACCGTTCTCATTTTTTGTAAAGTGGTAGACATCGCCTCTGGCAATATTTTGGATTCCGGGCACAAAACTGTACCGTTTGACCTTTACTTCCGGTGTCACCGGAAGCGCAATGAAAATTGAATATAACTTGAGAACGGAGGCATTTCATTATACAGTCAAACAAATTATGGATGTATAGTGAGGAATGTAAAAAATACAAAGCAGCTGTGATGACGTTATCACTCGAAAGCACGCCCTTTAGCGACACATTAAAGACACTAACTTTTTGAACTTAGAAACCATTTGCCAAAAGTTTACCAAATTTCCCCTATATATTCTTAAGACAACTGCAAAGACTATGTTTGTAGCACAACAATAATATTCGGTGCAATGTTAACCCTGGGATTCCAAATTCTATGACGTCATGAACAGGATATTTACAATTATTCTCAAGTCATAAAACTGATTATCAGTTTGTTAAGCTATATACATGTACACCAATTGTGCAGTACCTCGAATTGCTAGTAAAGAGGAAAACAATAAAGGTATATCACACACAAAATAATAAACTCGGTATTTCCTTCTCTAGCTCGGTTGTGAGCAATTCGAAACAAAACAACCCAAAAGAAAACTAGAACTATGTTTGCTCGATGGACAGAACACAGGGCTTTTCCGCAATAAGTTTTTATGAAGTTTTAAAAGCTTTTTTTGTCCATGTGAAGTGATGTATGGATTATCAATTTCAGGTGCGGACAAAGTCCATGAAAATGCGTCTTTTTCTACTCAGAAATCCATTTTAGTACATAAGGACGTATTTCTTTTGCACAATTCTGTGAGCATTAGCATGATCAACGGAGCAAGTTTTAATTTGTTTTTTAATGTACCATGTTCAGTGTGCTAGATGGAGTGAAAAGATTGTTTAAAATCCCGACAGTATTAACCAAAAATATAAATCCATATAAAATAACATGATGACGTCATCATGACATCATTTCAATTAATATCATTTCATTACGGTATCTGATGTTCCGAAAAATAGAGCAAGGAACAGAGCTCGGTACCGTAATGAAATTCGGACGTACATGTCAGACACTTTAATGAGCTGCTGTTGGAAAAGTGAATAAGATGCATCACTAATTTTGTGACATCTAATGAGTATTCTTAAGATGGAATTTTGCGTCGGGGTGAAGCAGGAGGTCGTGGGTTCGAGTCCCACCCGAGTGATTTTTTTCCCAACTTTCACTCGGGAGGTAACACACTGAGTATACAGTGTTTATACGTCGGTGAAGGGCAAAACCTAATTTGATCTAATGAGTAGAAAGCAATTACATGTACAGACCAAACTAATGTCTCACGACTTTGTACATCATGTGGTGGGACAACAGGGACATACACAGAGAACTGGATTTTACGGAATTGCCCTTTAGGGTAACATTATATTTAAAGTGATGACAACCAGGCGCTGAAGTAATCACATATAGTGGTTTCTTTAACTGTGCTTATGACGGTTGTTTGTTACCAACTTTCTGTTGATAAATGGCCACATCTCGTTTTCCATCAATCACTACTGACATTTTCCTCCCAATCGGATTTCTATACATAATTTTACTGGTGCTGTCGATGTCGTTTCCTTGTGACAAGTGTGTGATGGTTAGTGACTGCTGTCTTGTCATCTTTTGATATTAACTTGAAGATTATGGATGAAAACATTTTCCTCAAAACAAGATTTGTGTGCTTAATAATGAAGTATGGGATATCTGCTGCTGCATGATTTTCTTTAATTCAAGGTAATTAATACATTACAGTTACCTTGCTAAAAAATACTGTCCACAGTTACTGTCTACAGGTGTTTTTTTTTTAATTCCAAACATGCTGTGAGGAAGAAGAGTGGGAAACCCTCATAATAATGAGCAATTGACACAGAAGTCATGTGTAGGCCTACATCAGAAGCTACTGTTTAAATTTTGAAGGCACTTAAAAACAGATTAGTGAAGAATGTTGTAATTTATTAAGGCCCTCCAATCTGATTTTCAATACATTTGGAATTGTTTTATGAATATGCAGTTAGGCACTATAAAAGAAATTCATGGAAAAGATCTGAAAATTTGAAATATATATGTTCTTATTTTTCCATGCCTCTGCTTTCAAAACCGATCATTAGAACTGAACATGCAGTAAAAGACAGTACCCGCTCAAATCATATGGTCATTATCTCGAGACTGTTGATCTAATACAACTTCAAACAATATCAAGTTGTTTTTTTAAACATAGCTGAGGTGACATTATCTGGACGCATTATGATACTTGATAGCATAATAATCATCGTTGGTTTTTGGTACAAAGCAAACTGTGTAATACAAAAATACATTCACGTCGCACTGTTTATGTGTAAGCGATTTAGGTTGGAATGAACTTTGGACAGCCAGGAATGTAAATACAAACGGAAGAAAAAGTTCGTCACCAACATCAAGAACTCGCACAACATGATTGCCTACTTCCTTTCTTACACATTTAACGTTGTTTTGAGATTTTTTTATACAATTTTTGCCACAACCCTGACACTGCCTAAATATATATGTCTATATACTCTATTAATGCAATGCACACAGTGGTGTAACTACTGGAGGGGGTGGGGTGGGGGGGGGGGAGCACGTTCCCCCCAGTGGAGATCCGTGCCCCCCCCCCCCCGTGCCTACAAACAATGTATACGTTACCTTCAGTGCCCCCTGAAAAAAAATTGGTGCACCCCATGCAGGTGGCCCCCTATAAAAGCTTAACCCTATTACGTCGCTGGATGCACAGATAGACTAACGCTGAGGTAGATAAACACAGGCAAATAAGTAAATCCCTCTAGTAACGCAATCAGAAAATAAAAGGCGATATTTATGTTTTCCTTCCAGTTGACGACACGATCAACGACGTCGTATCCCTCGGCGTCGGTGTGATCATTGCCATTGTCGTGGGCTGTATCTTGTTCCTGGTCCTGTGCATTTGCTGTTGCTACTACTGCTGCTGCAGGAGCCCTCCTCCAGCCCAGCAGACAGTCATCGTCGCTCAGTCCGCACCAGCCCAGTCCACCGTGGTCGTAGCTCAAGCTCCCCAGGCAGTGTACAACCCCCAGCCCATGGGTCCACCGCCCATGCAACCACCGGTCGGCTACGGGCAACCACAGGCGGGCTATGACGGGCCGCCACCCTACCCGGGCCAGCAGACGGGATACGGTTACGCCAAACTCTAAACTTGCACCCCAGTGCTGCATGCTGCAGTTAGTTTTGCTTATCTTCCACTTTTTATTATCCATTTTTTATGAGTATTATTAGGGAGCTAATTTGAAGATAAAAATGACGAAGCAGCTAATCATTTCGTTCATATAGTGTAGTTGACTGTGACAGTCAGTTACCCCACATGGCTATAGGAGAAGCCAAGCTTTTGTTGCTCATGATTTTAGTGGGGAAAACAATTCAATCAAGTTTGGGAAGTGGTTTTATTTGCCTGTCAGCTATTTGTTTCTCATTGGAAAAAGGGGAACAAAAAGCAACCAGACTCTTAAAGTAATTTAGGGCCCTAAAACATTTTTTTTAACACTAGCAAGTTGAATGAATAAATAGGACACTCCATTTCCAACATTTTGCTATTTTTTTCAACCGCTGAAATGTAGCTTTTCGTTTAGTATCGCTAGTAACTGCTAATAACTATTGCCAACAAACTTTCGCTGCCTTTCTAGATAAACGTTTATACTTGTGTTATTATCTGCTACTTGTATAATTTTGCATGGTGGACATGAACAAAATGGTAACACCATGTGAATATTATCTCTTTTGAGCTGTGTGGTTCTGAGGAGAACCAGTTGGTGTAACTCGACGTTTCGAACAGTGTGCTCTGTTCGTCATCAGCATTCTGTTCGTCATTTTGCTCTGTTCGTCATCAGTCCCTTGATTAGGATAAAAGCACACTGTTCGAAAAATCGAGTTAAACAACCGGTTCTTAGGACTCAGAACCACACAACTCGAAAAAGAATAATATTCACATGATGTTATCGCAAACTTTCCACACTTGATCTACTCTAGAATAAATATTGGGCAGTAAACAAGACAACATTTTGTTCTCAGTTAATTTGCAAAATAACTAACAACGTCATTAACCGAATCTCCCTCTGATTCATCTAAAGTTCGTGATATTTGCGATTGGAATTCTGTTCAAATCTAACTTGTGTGAAAGGTTTTCGCAAGATTCACCGCTACCTTAATTAGGCACAAAGGGTCCATGAAATGAATTTTCTCAGGAACATATTTTGTGCAACTTTCTACTCTTCTTCAATTTATAAAAACTATTTCACACCTCTTTTTGGTTTAGTTGATTGAAAAGTCCACTTCTTTAACCTTTTTTTTAATTGCATGCGTTTCCGGACAACAGAGGGCGCTGTTGTTGTGATGTCATTTCAGGAAGACGCTGTTCAGTTCAAGGGTTTTCTGTTCACATTGTGAACCCAAAACTGTGCTCGTTGAAAACTTCTGTGTGAAAAGTTTGATCATTGGCTTACTGCCATGTACTGCCAACGAATCACCACAGAGAAAAATTCTGCCTGGAATGACATGATCACACTTTTGCTCATGAATATGAAAGTTATATTAGCATAAAACCAAAAGGCACCAAAATGACAAAACGAATATTGGAAAATAAGGTTAAATGGAACACAAGGGTTGACAGTATTTGTTTTTGGACAAAATAAATTGGGTCCTTAACTATGACATTTCGGTCCAAATCATTGATCCGCACCCTGCCGAAACTACGTCCCGGATGTAAGGTGCGGACCAATAAAAAAAAAACTTATGGTGGTGGTAGAGTGCGCGCGCATCTTAAAATTAAGAGAGAAAAAACAAGAAAAAGAGACGCAAAGTCATATTGGTTTAAATTTAATTGGTTGGGGGCGGGGGCAAAATGTCTTTGCCCCCCTCTAAAACTGATAAATCGAGAATATGTTTAGAAATACAGGAATTTTTTGGGAAATATATGTTTTGCCCCCCTCTCGAAAAAAAGTCTTTCAATTTCTTTTCATTTTTTGGTAGGTTGACCACTGACTTTTCGAGAAATTGTCGCCCAAAGAAGACGACCCCTATTTTCCCCAAAGCGGAAGGGCAGCCATCTTGAAAAACGATCCCTCCACAACATGGCAAAATAGCGCCACTTTCAAGCCCAATTGTATCCAAAATACTCAGAATTGGAAGCCCCGAGTCCGGGCCAGAAGTTTATTGCCATATCTTTTCAATTCCCCAATGTTATGGCTCCCAGAACTCTCTAATATAGAATATTTTGAGAGTATAACTTTTATTCATGAGCTCGGCGGACGGATTTAGGCCTATTTACCGGTGTGCACTCCACAACGTTTCCACGGTGTCGAGTAGTACGCTTCCACGCTATCCGCTTCTATTGGAAACTAGGTTCTATTTACCGGTGTGCACTCCACAACGTTTCCACGGTGTCGAGTAGTACGCTTCCACGCTATCCGCTTCTATTGGAAACTAGGTTGAAAATAAAGTAGGCCCTGGGAAGGAGATTGGTCCAAACGTACATTGTACGTGTACGATCCTGACCCGTACCCGGTGAATACCAGTCACGTCGAGCGCTAGCTAGTGATGCAAGAGTACGAGTACGTAATTTAGCCATGATTACACATATTGCTGAACGCGCGCGGTGACTGAGTACCAGCAGTTAGTATCGATATACTAATCACAAACCCTCAGTTTGTGAGTTAAATTTCGGGAAACAACGCCACATCGAACAGCATCATGGAGTATTTCACGCTTGGACGCTGTGTGGTGGTTTTGTGTCTGTTGGCGGTGGTTTGCAACGGGGTCAATGCAGATGGTAAGAAAATAACCCTTTAATTTAACCATGGAGGAATTCCTCCATGATTTAACACACTGTATGTAATAGGGCGACAGTGCATGTTGTGAATGTGATGTACTTTGTCCTTTTCATTGCGTGGCGGTACATGTTTGGCCTTGGAGCACCCTTGCTCTGTGCACGTACATGCATATGTACATGTATGTATAAGCCTGCGCCTCAAGGACTCGGATAAACATTTGGGCTGGTGATGATGTCGTGTGGTATCGCGCACAGTTCGTCAAGTTCTTTGCGAATGCGAGAGTACTTTCCACAGTTGCAAACATTAAAAAAATTAAAACTGTGCACAAATTAGTAGTAGTACCCCTATGAGACTGATCTGAAACATTGGAAAGTGTTCTCTCAGTAAATGCTTACATATTTTCCCTGCCAAATTTTAATTGAAGGACATGTTATGGCTCTCTGATGGCTGATACTCAGGTCACGCAGCAGGGGAAAATTAGTGATGTCCAAGTAGGGAACTCTTTCCATACATTGTAACATTGTTCAAGATCGGCACGGACCAGGCTTGCAAGTGTCTTTAAATACCCAGCACGATGTGTGAATTGTCCTCGCCGTATCACTTTCAGTGGAAGACTGCGGCTTCATCCCTACCCAATGCACTATCGAATCTCCCACTATCCACACTGGACCCGAACAGGCAAAGGCCATTAGGGCCGTGGTTAATCAACAACTCCCCTCGTCTGATAGTAGCGGGGTACCCCCAATCTCCATAAACATCCCCTATAGATATCTCACAAAAGAATTCCTGAGATTAACACAAAAGAGAAGGGGGGTCCCTCTGTCGCGCTTCCTAACGCTATGGTGTGCAGTATTGTAAAGCGAGGCCACGCAGGGAATAGGCCCAACCACAAAAGATCGTGAATAATATTAATAGTCATTGTGTTAATCTGTATAATGCCTTTGGATTTTGCTGTCTTCTATCGACATTGAACGATGTGTTCTGTGCAGTATTGTTAACAACATACCCTTTTTTTCACTACTTTCCCTAGCTATATGGTTTCAACACAGGGTGTATTTTTTGGTAATCCAAGTGCCCCCTTTTTCAGGAAAAGACTACACTACAACCTTACATAGTTAGTTAATTTAAAACCTCCTACAAAAGTTGGAGCCCCCATTTTTCCAGAACAAAAATTTAGACATATAGGCTACAACTTTGCCCACGGACCAACCCAAAGTGACCTTGATTATACAAGCAACACGGTGACCTCCTGTGTGTTCGTATATACATCCGGATCCGGCAGATAATATTGCGCCACCATTAGAAAGGCCACCAACTTGCAATGTTATTGTGCAATTGGCCATTTTGGTTTCGTCAAGGACGCGTTTGTGTACATGTACATGTACATGTATTTTATAGAATGTCATGAGCATGCGCCACTTCGAATTGTTTATAAATGTACATGTGCCATGTGCATATGAACATACATAACTTGGGTGAGTAAAAAAAACCCGAAACCCTAAATGTCGGGACTCGAGACCATTGTTTAGTGAAGTTCTGCATGTAGCACTTTCAAAATCTAGGGTATGAAAGCCCAATTCACAAGGTTTCTTTTAGTACAAGAATCATTCAAATCACTTATGTACTTTTCAAGTTACGGAATTTTAAACACAACCACCGTTTTAAAGTTCTGTCCACGGATCATATAAGAAGGTAAGTGTTCTTTCAGCAAAACGAAAACAAATCACATAGTAGGGATGTGTGTGAATTGTTTTCATTTTGCTGAATGAACGCACACCTTTTTTGTGATCCGTGGACAGAACTTTAAAGCGGTGTTTGTGTTTAAACTTCCGTAACTTGAATACTACATGAATGATTTGAATGATTATTGTACTAAAAGAAAGCTTGTGAATTGGGCTTTCATATCCTAGATTTTGAAAGAGCTGCATGCTGAACTTCACTAAAACAATAGTCCTGACATTTGGGTTTCGCTTTTTTTTACTCACCCTGTACATGTACTTTGTGTTTTGTATAGGGTGGTGTTAAAAGAAGGAAACCCACTACGAGTTCGACAGAAATGTTAACCTACTTACTTAACTTATTGGAACTGATTTTTGTTGTGAGGTAGTCTATCAGACCAGTTAAACAGCAGTGAAGTACATGTATAGCTCTTCAACCATACGTGGTGAAAAAAAATCTTTTTAACAATCGCAAGGATGGTGGTGTTATTATGCTAATTTTTAAATACAAGTCACCAAAAGTCTTCTTACGTGAGGCTTTTGTCTTCAAATCAAGCTCCGGAGCTCAGTCAAGCGGATGGAATAAAAGCCGTCCGTTGAAAAACACGTGTGGGACATGAAAGATTTTAATCTACCATTATCTCAGAGACGAAATATATGCGTTTTCAATTACTTTTCGTCACTTATGTTTAAAGATAAATATTTTGATACCATAACATTGAATTTTTGAAATATGCTCAACATGTAGGTGAGAATTGCTGTCAAAGTGGGTTTCCTTCTTTTTATACCACCATGTACTACTCGTATTTTATGTGTAAATATGCACATGGTTGGCATTCTTTTGGTACTTGTATAATTATAATGTGGCAAAAAGGATATTTTCTTTTAATACGGAGGGTTATAAAAAAACATTTTCACTATCTACATTTTGTTGAAATTTTTCAGGAATATTTTCGAAGTACATGTAGTTTTGTGGTATTTGTTTTAGTTCAAAACTTCAAATATTTTATTTTCAGAACCATGCTGTCCCTCGATTTTCCGAGCCTATAGTCGGATACAACATGCTCATGTGGCACTGTCTGCGTTTAATCTTGGATCTTTATTCTTGGCTCGACTCTTTCCTCAATTTGTTATTTCAGGGAATTATTTCGGACCTGATTTCACATTTTCGTCCTTGGCCTTGTTTCCTCGCCCTTGTTTCCTCGCAACACTCTATTTGGATAAATTCGCTCCCCTGTGTGCGCGTCGTTTTTGTAAAACGAGTCCTTTATTTCAATTGTTTTTTTTTATTTGTATAATTACAGTGACGGACGACCCTTTCAATTTCAACAACTTCGATAGTTTAGCCGATAACATTGAGGAGACTTACAGCAACGCCCTCAAACTGGGCGTGGGGATCATCGTCGCCATTGTCATCGGTATCATTGCCGTTGTCGTGCTTGTCATCGTCCTGTGTGCCTGTTGCTGTTACCATTGTTGTTGCAAGAGTCGCCCGGCGAGCCACACCGTGGTTGTGACACAGGGTGCCCAGCAGCGAGGCATGGTCATGCAGCAACCGGTGACTTACGAGCCAGTCCACGTACCGAGCAACGGGCCGGACGCGGTGCCACCCTACCCGGACCAGCAAGCATCTTACGGCTACGTCAAGCTCTAGATTCCTGCTCGACTGGACCTGCTTCGGACATAAGTTCTTCAAAAAGTTGACTTCGAAAAGCAACTATCGATTTCATTGCCACATCATAATCAAAAGTTTCTCCGACATCCTATTAACAACGTCCTTTGTCATTACGCACGTTTCAAGAGAAAGAACGTATTAAGAGAAAATAACCCGCTTGCATTTCAGTGAGCTATGATGAAATTCGGGATTTGCAAGTTTACTGTTTAACTTTATTTCGTGGAACTTTTAATTTAAAATAGTTATGAAAATAAGTTCGTTTTCTTCTACGTCAGGGTTCTAAATAGCAAGAATTTAGTGTGTGATTAACCTAAAATCGTGGTACTCAATCTGAAATGAACCATTTTTCTTTCTCAACTTCTGATTTTTTTTTTCTTAAGTCATGTATTTCGTTGTGTTAGTTTTACTTTTTGTAGTAGTAATAGGCCGTAGACGTAAAATAGAGAAAGCCACAGTTTGCCTGTTTGCTTGATAATGCAACTTACATCGAAAATTTAGAAATATTAATTTAAAGATCAAACTTTCTTGTCATCCTAACCATTTTGTAACAAAGGATGAAACAAACAAGGGGAACAAAGGTACACTTGAGTTTGACTGAAATAAAATTTCAAAACAAATAATGTTGTCAAAATCTGACAAAAAAAAGAATGCTACTCCATACTGTCAAAATGCAATCGCCGTAGTTCATGGTTTTCCAAAGTCCATTTGTTATTTTTCTTTTCCAAAAAAAAAAGTTGTTGAAGAAAACAGATTAAATTTGTTCTACTCGACAAAACACATTTTAATGTCTTGTCTATTTTACTTTCACAGTTCTTGTTGTTTATTGTTTTTTGTGTGCTAATTTTAAGATGATTCGTTGTGTTTAAAATATGTATGTTATTATTGATATACCATCAGCCGTGGCGGAACTGTTTTCAAACGGGGGGGGGGGGGGGGGGCATCACCAACAAGGGGCACATGCTCAGTAAAAAGCATCTTCCGTCGGTGCAGCAGCGTATCCAGCATTTTTTTTGGCACATCCGTGGTGAATTTTCACCGGACACTTGGCCTCCGTAAAATGGTGTTAGGGTCCGTGGACGTGCGTTTGTTTATGGTGTAAATCGAGGACACACACGTGCAACATCATTGATGAATTGAGGACAGGAACCAAAGCGAGGACGAGTTCGATTAGAAAACGTGTACAAAACCAACAAGAGCTGTTGCAAAAAAAAAGGTAGTTTAAATAAAAGAAAAGGGAAGAGGATCAATAGAAAATCCTCGATTTACGCCATGAACAAACGTGATGAGTGGGTGTGTGTGGGGGGGGGGGGGGGGGGGGGGGGCTTAATACTGTCTTCCAAAATAGGGGGCGCTCTTCAAACTTGGCCATTATGCAAACCACGCATTTATCATGTGCCCATTTTCAGGGTGTACTGTAAGGGTTTGGGGGCTTGGTTTTCATATTCTCTATACCTTTTTGAGAAATGGTTACTGAAAACAAAGTATCCGAAATTTTAGAGTCGGTTTTGTTTTCATCTCGAGGGGGCAATTTTTGTCCGCAAGAGGGAAACTTGGGTAAACCTGGAGTGGGAGGGGAGTCCTCCCCTTCCCACCCTGTTCTGCCGCCCCTGTATGCCATAATAATCGCTTTGTGTTAAGATCCATTTTCACCCGACCTCGTTTTTCCAACCTTGTCCTCCGATGAAATTATGGGCATGTTCGAAATCCCATTCTCGGATGGTTGCTGATTACGAACGCTTAAGTACGTGTGGAGTGTAGCTGGGTGAATATTCAAGATGGCTTCCGCCGTATTAAAACGCCAAATGAAAAGACTGGGGACCAAAAATCGAATGAACACGAAAGTATAATTGGAATCCCGAAACAGCTGTAAAAATTGGCAAAAACAAGGCTGACATGCCCACTCTATAACCACGTACAATTTTATTTTATATCATAACTGCTCCTGCACTAAATGCTTTAATTTGTATGCAAAAAAAACTAATGCGAATTCCGGGGGAATTTTTTTCCATATCACTAATTCGCTTTAGGCGTATACTGAAGCACTTTGAATTACAAGTCAGGTTCTCGGACTATATTTTCCCTTGAAAAAAATCCTCCAAACCACATATTGGTAAGAAAAATGTTCCAAATGACTAACAAACCTTTTTAAGAGAGAACAAAAAAGAAGAAGTGAAGAAGAATCAATTAAAAAAAAAACCATCCAATGGGAATCGAACTCACACCATCGGATTTGTAATCCAATGTAGTATCCATGAGTCTACAGCAGTGACTCGGTCGATGGGGTAGTTTTAAACATTATACTACTACATATGTAGGGCCCTCCAGCATAATTCTATAGTAGCGAGCATGTGGTATGGAAAAAAATGCTTCCGGAGGCATAAGTCCGCCATTTGTGTATATGGAGATCAATGGGTGCACCCATGTGAAAATTCCCATGCATAGACACCAGTGATAAATGGCCATACTTCAAAAATTATTTTTTTAAATACTCAGAACTGTCACAGATGTTCAGTCTGCACAGACAAGTGATGATCAACATATCATCTTTCATTTGCTTTTCAATTTTTGGTGGGTTGACCATTGACTTTTCAAGAAATCCTCACCCAAAGAAGACCGCCCCTAAAACGAGTGACCAACTGGAAAAGTAGCCATCTTGAAAAGGGATCCCTCCACAATATTGCTAAAAACGCCACTTTCGGCCCAATTGCATCCAAAAATGCTCAGAATTGGAAGCAAGTTTTTCAGGAGAATACACGAGAAACTGTGTACATGTAGGCCTATTCGTAATTCGTAAATTCACCATTGCGAGCGTATTCTCAGACTTGCGTCAAAAGAAGTATTGTAACGAACTGTCCAGTTGAGTGGAGATGAAAAGACTTGCGCATCTCGTATGGTGGCCATCGGGCGTAATTTACATGCAAAGGAGTTTTTCTAAGGCTCTTACGTAATCAAGCGCTGGATTAGGGTTAATGGGAAATGAATTGCCGTGGATTCCTCCTTAACTTGAATTTAGGCAAGATAAAAACCGTGAATTCTTTAGTTTATTTATGTGAAGGGAACAAATGGAAAATGTTTACAAATGTATATAGAATGCGTTAAAAAAGAATGAAAGTTAACGTGTGAAAAGTGTTATGACTGTACTCAGTAACATGTTTATAATAAGTACAATGTTTAAAGTAATAATTCGTAGTCCGAATTCACACTTTACTAAAGAATCGCCGTTCCGAATCCACACCTCTTTTTTTTTACCAGTGTAACAGATTCGTATTCTCGAATCCACACTTTAAATTACAGTGTGGCATCAAAGCAATAGTTCAACTTTTATTCATGATCTCGGCGGACAGATTTTGGCCTATTTACTGGGCTGTACCTGGACGTTTTCAGGATCATCTACTCCCCATAATGTGGGGATTGTAAATCTTGTTCGCGAACACGTACTGTCCGCGTGTTTGATTTCCGCCATTAATCGGAACCCGGTCTCGTGTTCATTCAACACGAGAACGTGGTTTCGACGCCCGGAAGTGTCCTTTATGTTATGGTTACAGACCAGTAAATAAATTTCCATAGACCCCAATGATAAACGCCCCCACTTCAGAAATTCAGGAAGAATACAACTCTCTGAGGTGTTCAGGACGTACATCAATTTCAAGCTATTTCATCATCTTTGATTTTCAGTTCAATTTTCTGGAGGTTAACCAATGACTTTTGGGTGACAATTCCATCCAAAGATGATCACCCCTAAAAGCAGCCGTGAAGCCCATCGCCATTTTGAAAATGGACGCTTACGCTCCATTGCAAAATAGAGCCATATTAGGGCCTTCATCCATATTTCACAGAAATACGAGCTCGCAGTCCTCTGTTCGGCTTCCACCCTTCTTCTTCTTCTTCTTTTTTTTTTGCATATCATCGAGTTCACGGCCTTCAAAATGCTCTGATTTGGCCGGCGTAGGCAATTTTTTGACCGATTTACTGTTCTGCACCCTTATGGACCTTGCCGTCATGTTTGAAAACATTAAGCGCAATTCTGCCGCAAGCGTAAAAATTGAAGCCGTGATTGGCAACATAATTCTTATACTTCAAAAAAAAATTTAAAAATCATAAAACACCCTCATTGCACAAGAAAAAGGCACGTTTAGGAATAAGTTTTTAGCGTTTGTAGATAATTTTGTATTTTCAACAATCAAATAATATGTGTGTATAATAATTAAAACTACTTTTCATTTTTTGCAGTGTTGGACCTTCCATAGTTTGGCAACCCGTAGTTGGCAAAATGTGCCATAAACACTCTGTTCCTTGGTCTAAACCATAGAGCAAGGGAATGTAAAACGCTCTGCTGTAACTAAGTACACCATGTAACTAAGCACACGCTCTGTTGTAACTAAGTATACACAATGATGTGTGATAAACAACTCGGGGGTGTAATGGTCTGTATTCTTATATTAACAATGGGTTGGCCATGTTAAATTCAATGCATTCACAGGTGGGTTAGGGATGGGATGTATTCTCATAAACTCAATGTGCCTATTTTGAGTCCCTCGAAAAAGCACAAACACTAGAACCGAGATATAACACCCCTCCCCCCAAACAAAATTAAATTTACCCACGCTATAAGCATAGAGCAATGCTCTGAGCTGACATTTCGACTCCAAAATAAATGTTAGTTTCTGGATTGGGCGTTAGACAGACATGGAGCTATAGTGAAAGACTGCACTCGTATAATATGTGCAGAGGTTGGCCAACTGATGGAATCACACCATTTAAACATGTGCTTTTGCTGTTATTTTCAGAAATTGTTTGGATTTGTAGGTTATTATTTGATACTTTAGCAAATATTGTTAAACTGACTTGTTTGACGTTTCGGGTTCGTAAATGCTGGAAAATCAAGAAACACAAAATCGTTTTCTTGTAGTCTGGTTGCCGGAGCCCACTTAACTTGAAAAAAAAACCGGAGCAATTTATAGACATCGGGGAATCATGTAAGGTCAGGGAATCAGTCTAGCTGGCTTGTACCCGTTCACAGTGTAAAATCGATAACAAAGAAAATGCGAACTATCAAATTTGATTAATTGGGACGAGTATTTGAGAAAAAAAACACCTGTTTTTTTCCCCAATAGTGGTAGTACTGGTCGGTCGACCAGCATAAATCATACAAAAATATCACTTTTCTTGAAAATGTCAGCACACCAGGTGCCCTGATTTTACAGGATGCTTTAGACTGTTATTCACTAACAGTCCAGTAAGGTTTTTCGTGACAATTTGGTAGTTTTCTTTTATGTTTGCAAATGTTGTATATTCCCTTTAATTTCGCTCATATAAACTGACGTTTTATAGATTATAGATGATATAGATTTTCAAGCTTTTGTCGATTGGGGTCCATTATTATGTAAACAATAGGCTGTGGATGTGTGTCAAATGAAACGAGTCTAACGTTTCCAAGACAACCCTGGAGCCATATTATTTTGTCAAGATTTGCTAAATGAATTTCAATGTGGGAGAAATAGCAACTGGTCCCTTTGTAATTCACGCACAATTGGCCTTAATTTGTTGCGTAAGAATCTTGCGGTCCAATGGATAGCGCAGTTATATTGTTGCATGGTTAGGCAGCCGGCATTGGCAAGGAAACCTTTGTCGCGCCCCGGAGCTTTATAATGACGTCAAGGCAGTGGGTATGTGACTTTTCTAATCACTTTGTTAAAACGGTCGTGTTCCTTGACTTCACATTGTTGGATAGACTCGAAAGAAGGGCACCCGTCTTATGCCGCTATCGCATTTTTCTGGGTTTTTTTTCCTGTAAGGTCGATGACATTGTTTTGCTGTCATGGCAACGACGATGCTGATCATCAGTCTGTAATGGGTAAAACCGCTCGCACAGAATCTGGAGCTCACAGAATCTTTTTAAACTTCTGACGAGCAAGGTTGCATACTAGACCTAGCAGGGTGTTGCCGACGTTTGGTGTCAAATTTGAATCCTTGTGAAATCCAAGCATTTTACTTCACGAAAAACAAACATGGCGAGCTATACAAAGCTTCAGTGTGTCGCCTGGTGTCTGCTGATGTTGATGGTCAACTTGGCGAAAGCACAAAGTGGTAAGTCATTTGAATTCTGTGCTTCCACATTTTTTGGGGGTAACTTTTCTAAAATGTTACTCCAGAAAAGTAAATAGGCCAAACCAAGCTGATTCGTGGGCCTGTAGAATTAGAAATGTTTTCTTCTCGATGGATGAGTTTCAAAGCTTTTGTTTCTTCCCCTGTTTATTAAATAATTGAGTTGTAACAAGTACGGCTCTGCGTTTCGATCACTTAACCCGTGAACATTAAGCGGCCAAGGAATTGCAGTTTTGTAATGCGTGATTGCAAAGTGACATTAATTAGGCGCGTATCCAGAGGGGGGGGGGGGGTTCGAAAACACATCCCCCTGCTCTGACAAAATATAACAATTATAGTAATAATACAAAAGATGACAATCTTCCAGTCCGCAACAATCTGTAATAAACAGATCTGACCGGCCTGACCCTCACCCCCCCCCCCCCGCAAACATTTCTTGATCCGCCCTTGCATTTTGTTATCGGGATCTGCATGGAAGGGTGAAAAAAAAATCGCTGTCCGGTAAAGTGTTTAGCGATTTGTTAAAAACCAAACCTTTGAAACTAAACCAGCCCTGTTTCGTTTTTGTTTTTTTCCAATACAGTCGAAGCCGCTGTCGGACTTGGCGTGGGAATCATTGTCGCCATCATCATTGGTGTCCTTGTCGCTGTCGTTGTCGTAATTGTCCTGTGTGCCTGCTGCTGCTACCACTGCTGCTGCAAGAAACAGCAAGTCACCCACAACACCGTGGTAATGGCAGGTCCACCTCAACAGCAGGGCATGGTCATGCAACAGGAGCACCAAATGCCGCCGAGCTACGATAAGGAGTCTCAGCAGGTAGCCTAGCTCCGCACATACCCGCACTGGAATTCGAACAGCGACACTGGGCCATCGACTAGCCTTCTCTCCAGCTCCCAAGGATGCATTCGTTAACAGTGACTTATTTTGACGCCTCGCTCGTTTTGAAAGGCAGTTGCATTGTACATCGATTCACACGGTGCTTTCTGTTCTTTTTAAAACCAAATGGTCAAATTTCTTCAGATTGCATTAACTTAAAAGAAATATGTCTCTATTGAATGGTACATGTATTCAATTGCACCATACGACCCTTAATGCCTGGTCAATTTAACTGTTGTTTTTTAAAAGTAAGATCTTACCCTTTTTTATGGAATTCAGAACATTTTTTTTTACTTGCAGTTGAAGAAACATCAGATATTTCAGTTGGTTTACAGTATTTGGACAGTCGGTAGCCCACTTTAATTTTTCTGTAAATTTGTGTAAATATTTTTAAAATGTTTAAGGTTTGGGGTCTGATTTTCAATCCGAGCTGAATCTTTCTCAAAGGCTGAATTTTTTTAAACTTTTTTAAACCATTCTTTGTGTAACTTTTTTTTGTAAATTTCGAAATCCTTTCCCTGTACGCAAGATGATTCAAAGACTGTAACGCAATATTACTGGCCTTAGACCCTGTTTCGGTGATCTTTACTTCAAAGCGGCTTGATACGAGACTAAAATATTTTAACATGTACATAATAACAATTGAAATTCAGAGTGCACAGGTTTGTTGAAGAATAAATGAATCGCTCGCCCTAAGTTGAAGGCTTTTAATAAAATTATGTCTAGACTCGAGGTTTGATTGACATTACATTTTGTGTTTAATTTTGGATTGCTTAAAATTTGAAATACGTGTGCATATTTAATTACAGTCCAGTCTCGTAAATACAAACTCGTTCGGACCTAGCCAAATTGTTTGTTATATCAGAATTTTGTATTAAGAGGAGCATCAGTCCCATTCATTGTGCACATAAATGCACAGTCGGGACTAAGGCTTTATGTTTGTTATAACCAGAATTTTGTATTGACAGAGTTTGCACTGACGAGAGTCGACTGTAGGCCTATACATTTTGTACATGTAGAACTTTGCACAGTGAAGGTCTATGATGCGCGAGCAGATTCGGCGATAAATTGTGCAAAACAAGACCGCTTCTTGATTTCAAGATTTTGCCCATTCAGCGGGCGCCTTGTATCGGGTCTTCCGTACAGGGGCTTAGCTACGGGGGGGGGGGGGGGGGGGGGGCACACCCCATTATCGTTCGGAGCCCCCCTACTGGAAATGTGGCAACCGGACAAAAATACAGTCCTATAAGTTAACGTGATTACAATTTACAATATACAAAATGTAGCTGGTTGAACAGAAATTTCCTATTTTTCACAATGTTTAATAAGTGTTTACGAAAACCTGTTTTTAGCGATTGGCTCCATCATTAACGGCCCGTGGAAAGCGAATAAACGCCACCAATTGTCTGACAATACCATGATGTCGGTTTTGAACAGCGGCCCCATGGGAAGATGGTTCCCCCTACACTTTTTGATTTTAGTGAGGACGGCTGTCCGGTGAAAAATAAAACCCTGTCAACCTTTCAGCACGCCTAAAATTGGGCGCCCCTCCTATAACGTCCAGCCTTCCCCCAGCATGAGAACTCTGGCTACGCGCTGCTGCTTCCGTAACCTGTTGTACATTAATGTGCATTGTACAACGAAGCATGTCAGCCGAAATGACCAATCAGCAGCTACATGTAGCAAAATTTAAATTGAGGTCGATTGACCGGCGCGCGAAACATGTTATGATTTTAGACGTGCACAGTTATTGAAGGAAGACGGGGGTATTAACCGGTCACCCGGTGTCCATACCCCCACCCTCACCCGGCGTCCATACCCCCCCCCCAAAAAAAAGAAAGAGTGGGGCTGGACATTAGCATATAATAGGCGGCGCTCTACATAGCAGTTGCCGACGTTCGTGGGGCGTTATGGTTGCAGACCAGTAAATAAACTTCCATAGACCCCGATGGTAAATGCTCACACTTCAGAGATTCGGGAAAAATACTCACAACTCTCCAAGATGTTCGAAATACACATCAAATTAAAGCTTATTTCATCATCTTTCATTTTCTTTTCAATTTTTGGGGGGTTAACTGATGACTTTTAGGAGAAATTTCCATCCGAAGATGATAACCCCTGAAAAAAGTCCTGAAGCCCATCGCCATATTGAAAAACGATGCCTACACTCCATTGCAAAATAGAGCGCTTTAAGGGCCCCAATTTCATCCAAATTGAACGGAACTACAAGCTCACAGTCCTGTGCACGGCCTCCACCCATATTTTTTTTACAAACCCTCAAGTTCATGGCCCACAGCATGCTTAAATACTGAATATTTTGACGGGCATGCAAATCGTGATTTGGCCGGCGCAGGCAATTTCGGACCGATTTACTGGTCTGCAACCTTATGAAAAGGGCATTCCTGAAAATAGGGCACTCGTGAAACAAAGGCACCCGTGGAAAAAATGGGGGTGGGGAGGGTTAAATAGTTGAAAATCTAGGTGAAAATCATGCTTGAATAATTCAGATAACATGATAACAGCACGTAACTAAGCAAAGAGTATGCACGTTGTATCGCGGAGGGGTGTGGGTACGGAATCTAACTCCCGAGGCCGACAAATATAGGAAAATCATGCAGAAGTATGTAGCACGTGCCTATTAACCTGCCTGCTTATAACACCAGCCCATCGCTGACCCCATCGACTGCTCCCTCCCGGCCCATGAGCAAAAGCTGGGTCCGGTGTAGCATGCATTTATGTTTTATGGTTGCAGACCAGTAAACTATAAGCTGCCGTAGACCCCAATGATAAATGCCCCCTTTTCAGAAATTCAAAATATTTTTTTTTTGGGGGGGGGGGGGTTAACTGATGACTTGTAGGAGAAATTTCCATCCGAAGATGATCACCCCTTAAAATAGTCCTCGAGCCCATCGCCATTTTGAAAAACGATGCCTACACTCCATTGCAAAATAAAGCGCTTTTAGGGCCCAATGTCATCCAAATAGCACAGAACTACCAGCTCACAGTCCTGTGCACGGCTTCCTGCCATATTGTTTTTTTTTTTACAAACCCTCAAGTTCATGGCCCATAATATTATGCTCAAAAACCGAAGAATTTGGCGTAGGCAACTTTAGACCGATTTACTGGCCTGCAAAGTTATGAAATACAGACTCCGATTTTTTTCATAGAATTTTAAAAGTATCAAACATCTAAGCCGCATATAAATGAATGTCAATCAAAACATATTAGGCATGGTTTTATAAATCCAAATAAGGCATCAATAATCAGTTTCATGTTGCGGGGCTTATTTCAAAAGTGCATTGTAAAGCACTACAATAATGGCAAAGTCATCATGTAGCGGCAGCACATTTGAAGAAAATAATGGATTCGTAGTAGATGGTATGTATAAACGATAAAAATAAGCCATTATTGTGTGAATGTCCATCCAGTGAACTCTGTGTTTCCCTTGTTCGATTCGGACGAGTATTCACAATGGCGTTTATATTTAAAACACTCCACTTTGGCCTCTTCGTAAATCCGATCGACCTCAGACTTGATACATACTTAGACCACCACCCACAGATGGTCCTAGAAGAAATTTGTGATCGTGACGTCATCAGGTGTTGGGTTACGCCACATTAAAGATGCATTTTTCCCCATAGGGTTTGTACACGTTATAAAACACTCCACTTTGGCACTTTTGTAAATCCGATCGACCTCAGACTTGATACCTACTTAGACCACCACCCACAGATGGTCCTAGAAGAAATTTGTGATCGTGACGTTATCAGGTGTTGGGTTACGTCACATTAAAGATGCATTTTTCCCCATAGGGTTTGTACACGTTTTAAAACATTCTACTTTGGCACTTTTGTAAATCCGATCCACGTTAGACTTGGTACACACTTAGACTACCACCCACAGATGGTCCTAGAAGAAATTCGTGATCGTGACATCATCAGGTGTAAGGTTACTTCACATTAAAGATGCATTTTTCCCCGTAGGTTTTGTACACGTTTTCTTCAAGTCATACTTTGGCACTGTATGTCTGATTGACCTTTCACTTGGCAGATGACATTCGAAGTGACTTCATCAAGTGTTCATCATGTGCACAGAGTATTTTAAATATCCGAAACAGCTTGTGTTTGTCCACAAACACATTTCTAGTTTTTTTTTTCTCCTTTTTCAGACTTTTTCTCCATAGGTTTAACACACGTTTCTTCCACCAGTCCACTTTGCCACTTTTTCAAATCCGATTGATTTCAGACTTGATACATACTTAGACCACCACCCACAGATGGTCCTAGAAGAAATTTGTGACCGTGACGTCATTAGGTGTCGGGTTACGTCACATTAAAGATGCATTTTTCCCATATGTTTTGTACACGTTTTAAAACACTCCACTTTGGCCTCTTCGTAAATCCGATCGACCTCAGACTTGATACATACTTAGATTACCACCCGCAGATGGTCCTAGAAGAAATTCGTGATCGTGACGTTATCTGGTGTTGGGTTACGTCACATTAAAGATGCATTTTTCCCCATATGTTTTGTACACGTTATAAAACACTCCACTTTGGCACTTCTGTAAATCCGATCGATGTCAGACTTGGTACACACTTAGATTACCACCCACAGATGGTCCTAGAAGAAATTTGTGATCGTGACGACATCAGGTGTGGGATTACGTCACGTTAAAGATGCATTTTTCCCCATAGGGTTTGTACACGTTTTAAAACACTCTACCTTGGCACTTTCGTAAATCTGATCGACGTTAGACTTGGTACACACTTAGACTACCACCTACAGATGGTCCTAGAAGAAATTCGTGATCGTGACATCATCAGGTGTAAGGTTACTTCACATTAAAGATGCACTTTTCCCCATAGGGTTTGTACACGTTTTTCTTCAAATCATACTTTGGCACTATATGTCTGATTGACTTTTCACTTGGCAGATGACATTCGAAGTGACTTCATCAAGTGTTCATCATGTGCACAGAGTATTTTAAATATCCGAAACAGCTTGTGTTTGTCCACAAACACATTTCTAGTTTATCATTATAATCGTCATCATCTGTCTAATGTCATTGCTCTTTGTTGCATCATCGGCTGTGTCTCTCTGTGTTACATTGGATGCTTCAAGCAACGACGAGGAAAGACGCAGACAAGTGTAGCATCGAATCCACAGCAGCCGGGATGTGATGGGGCTACCATGGCAATGCAGCAGATCGATCCTGGGGAACCAGCCAATAGTGAGCATCAGTCAATGGATGGGCAAGGGCGTATCCGGGGGGGGGGGGGGGGGGGGCCAAAGGGGGATATGGCCCCCCCCAAAAAAAAAAAACGAAACGAAACCAACTTTTTTTTTTTTTTTTGGTGACATCACAATAAAGGCAGGCAATGAGTACACCACCATCTTTTCCTCAAAAAACATTGGTTAAAGTGGTCAGAAATTGCCTCAGATCGCACCACAGAGCATCTAGAAACCAAAATTGTTTCGGGGCCCTTAAGCGGGCCCCGAACCCCACGCCGTAATTTTTGTGACCCACTTCTTTGGGGGACCAAATTATTTTGGCCCCCCAAAAATTGTGTTCTGGATCCGCCCTTGTGGATGGGCAGCTGGTACTCGGCGATCAACAGGCGGCCGAGGGGCACATTGCATGAGTGGAACTCATTGTAAAACATAAGCTGGATATGCCCATTGGCTGTTATAAATGAAGTTACCGTTCGCAATTTTACCACTCCCATATACAAGTAACAATGGAATTGTAAACACATCGTAATTTGCTGTTTACCTCTGCGACTGACTTATTTATCTTGTAATTAAATAAAAATCAAATGTGTGCAAAATTATTTTTCTGCCCCAATGTCTGCTGAAATACATTTTTTTTTTAAATGTAATTAAAGATATCTCTTGTCTATTACAATGTATACCATTTGAGTGGTATAAACCGGTTTCCGTAGAGTGGTGTTTTTATTTGAAGCTTACATCGTCAATGGATCATGATTATTCAGTTATGGAGAACTTGTGCACATTGTGCATAGCAACTACCCTGTGACGGATAATCTGAATATCTGCAAGCACAATGCTTTCGTTCAAGAGGCTTTTGTGAAAACAATTTCATAGAAAATGTGGGCAGTACTAGTGATCAATGCTTGTTTATGGCCCAAACAATGTACCCGACGGAACTTTTTTTTTTGGTGAGGATTGTTCAAACTTTCACGCTTGAGTAATCATGCACAGCACTGTGGCAATTAATGCCAACACTGAGCTGTATTTTGCACAAATTCCCATTCTGGGCATTCAGCATGATGTTCGACTGATCTACTCCCTTGTTCAATAATCTGTCAAGACAAGCGGAGAAAGTCTATCGTTGAGCACATGAACCAGCGGCTGGTAACCGTAGTATCAACCTTTGTCGTACTTGGCATCTGTGGTATATGTAGGTAAAGGAATTGTACGAGGTTTTCTTTTTTACTCCAATTGGGCAACAAGCCGATGTGATTTGTGACTAGCCGCATTCGTTAGAAATGACATGACGCATTACTTTCTGGCTTCCGCATTGCTCGTGTGTACGGTTCTTATTGTAATATAGGCATATCACGGAAACTATGGAGGAAACTGTCGCTATTTAATACATATTTTGAAAGAGCAAGGACTATACCGATTTTTCTTGGCAGTGACAATGTTGTCCCGAGGTTGGTGTGACGTCGTCTGTCTGTTGTTGGCCCTGGTGAATTTGGTGAAAGCAACGGGCAAGGAAAACCACAAACGTTTACTTTGTTGCATTTTCTAATTTAAAAGCTTGTTTAAAGTGAGCACAGTAGGCGTGGCTTATCATAGACTTAATGACAGGTCGTTAGATAGTCGTATCAGGCGCGGTTCTAGGGGGGGGGGGGGCTGGGGGGGCTGTAGCCCCCCAAAAATTTTGTCTAGCCCCCCCCCCCCAAATAAATTCCGTAAAAAAAAAATTGCATAAGCAAAAGGAAGGATTGTGATGTACATGCGAACGGTCTCCCCCTAAAGAAGAAATAGCCGTGACAAGGGTGCATTAGTCAATATAGTGTGAATGATTTTAGGATTTTATTGGCGCTCCCCATTGAAAATATGGCATGAGGCCCCCCCCCCCCCCACACACACACATATTGATTCTCGGAGGCCTAAGTGTCTGGAAAAAATAACCGGTCAACATTTCAGCACGCCTCCCTGAAAAAATTCTGGATCCACCGTGCTAGCCCCCCCAAAATATTGGTTCTAGAACCGCGCCTGAGTCGTATTTGTCCGTGAACTTCAGTCAAACTCCATTTCCATGTTTTAACGACCACTCAGCCAGGTCAATTGTGTATTGAAATGAAATGTGTCATTGTGATATTTTTTATTTGAGTCGTGTATGCCCTATAATGTTTTTTTTGTGATGTTACACAACATAATAAAGTACAAACCCTCGATGATCTTCCGTGGCGGCCTAGAATATACTCTGGAATCGGAACCAATCAGAGTGCTCGCATAGAATTCGCTAGCGATTCAAAATACTGCCATATGTTGTGTAAAAAATTGAAAACGTATTCGCCAAGTCGGCGGTAATTGAACATCAGTAGTCAGCATTTTGGTCTCCAATCTACGCGCAATTGCAGCGATATAGGGCGTGCGTGGAGCCATATGTATGCCGGTACCGTACGCAAAACAACCGACTTGGCATCAAGTCTAGGCTTATCATCGTATGCATCGTCAATTGTGATTCTTTTTAAAAATTTATACAGCTAGGGAGTGTTACCAATTTATAGAAGGTCGCATTAAAACAAAAAACACCCAAAAAATAAACAAAATAATGGTCTTTGTCTGTCCAATGTCTTCTCGTATAGGCCTAGAAATGTTTGTAATTTGTGCCGACTTTTTCAAGCTTATATTTGTCAATGATTTATAGAACCTGTGCAACAGCAAAATAATCAGACATTTTCTCCGTACACAACAGAGTACATGTGCGAAAGGTCGACGATAAACGCCGGCAGTTCCAGGGGAACGTTGCGCTCTCAACGCGGTCCGAATTACCGGAGCAATCTGGACTGCACCCTGACGATCAACGTCGATTCGGGTCGACACATTTCACTCAGCTTCCAAACAGTTGACATTGAGGGGTTTGAGAATGGCTGTGGCAGCTCAGACTACTTGAGCATTTACGATGGTAGTTCTATCCATTCCCCTCGTCTAGCAGTTGTCTGTGGTACCTCTTTACCCGACTATGACGTCGTCTCCGAGGGAAGCGCCATCACTCTGAGATTTCGGACGGATCATATGGTGACGAGGAGCGGTTTTGTACTGACTTATTCATCCATTAAGAATAGTGAGTACTTACTCAGACTCAGGAAAGTCACTGAACTGGCCAACCTAACTCACCCCAAGCAAACCCAACAACTACAATGTAACTTGCAAGCCCTACCAGCCCTACCTACCTAGACTCCTATAAACCCAACCCAGCCCAACTTAACTCGGCCTTTCCCAACAAGAATCGACCTAAACAGACCCGACCCGTCCCGACTCGACCCAACCAAACCAAACTCACCCAACCTAATCCAACTCATCCCAGCCCAGCCCAACCCAACCCAACCCAACCCAATCCAACCCAACCCAACCCACCCCAACCCAACCCACCCCAACCCACCCCTACCCAACCCTACCCAACCCAACCCAACCCAACCCAACCCTACCCACCCCAACCCAACCCTACCCAACCCAACCCAACCCAACCCAACCCAACCCAACCCTACCAAACCCAACCCAACCCTACCCAACCCTACCCAACCCAACCAAACCCTACCCAACCCAACCCAACCCAACCCAACCCAACTCAACCCAACCCAACCAAACCCAACCCAACCAAAAACCAACCCAACCAAACCCAACCAAACCAAACCCAGCCCAACCAAACCCAACCCAACCCAGCCTAACCAAACCCAGCCCAACCAAACCAAACCAAACCCAATCAAACCCAACCCAACCCAACCAACCCAACCCATCCCAACCAAACCCAGCCCAACCAAAACCCAACCCAGCCCAGCCAAACCCAACCCAACCCAACCCAATCCAACCCAACCCAACCAAACCCAACCCAATTAACCCAATCCAACTCAACCCAACCTAACCCAACCCAACCAACCAAACCAAACCCAACCCAATTAACCCAACCCAACTCAACCCAGCCCAACCCAACCCAGCCCAATCAAACCCAACCCAACCCAAACCAACCAAACCCAACCCAATTAACCCAACCCAACTCAACCCAGCCCAACAAAACCCAGCCCAACCAAACCGAACCCAACCCAACCAAACCCAACCCAACCAAACCAAACCAAACCCAACCAAACCCAACCCATCCCAACCAAACCCAACCCATCCCAGCCCAACCCAACCCAACCCAACCAAACCAAACCAAATCCAACCAAACCCAACCCAACCCAACCTAACCCCACCAAACCCAATTAACCCAATCCAACTCAACCCAGGAGCCCAACCCATCCCAACCCAACCCAACCAAACCAAACCAAACCCAACCTAACCCAACCAAACCCAATTAACCCAATCCAACTCAACCCAGGAGCCCAACCCAACCCAACCAAACCAAACCCAACCCAACCAAACCCAACCCAACCCAACCAAACCCAACCCAACCCAACCCAACCCAACCCAACCCAATTCAACCCAACCCAACCCAACCAAACCCAACCCAACCAAACCCAACCCAACCAAACCCAACCAAACCAAACCCAACCCAACCAAACCAAACCCAGCCCAACCAAACCCAACCCAACCCAGCCTAACCAAACCCAGCCCAACCAAACCAAACCCAATCAAACCCAACCCAACCCAACCAACCAACCCATCCCAACCAAACCCAGCCCAACCAAACCCAACCCAGCCCAGCCCAGCCCAGCCCAACCCAACCCAACCCAACCCAATCCAACCCAACCAAACCAAACCCAACCCAACCCAACCAAACCCAACCCATCCCAACCAAACCCAACCCATCCCAGCCCAACCCATCCCAACCCAACCCAACCAAACCAAACCAAACCAAACCAAACCAAACCAAACCAAACCCAACCCAACCTAACCCAACCAAACCCAATTAACCCAATCCAACTCAACCCAGGAGCCCAACCCAACCCAACCCAACCAAACCCAACCCAACCCAACCCAACCCAACCCAACCAAACCCAACCCATCCCAACCAAACCCAACCCATCCCAGCCCAACCCATCCCAACCCAACCCAACCCAACCCAACCCAACCCAACCCAGCCCAACCCAACCAAACCCAACCCAACCCAACCTAACCCAACCAAACCCAATTAACCCAATCCAACTCAACCCAGGAGCCCAACCCATCCCAACCCAACCCAACCCAACCCAACCTAACCCAACCAAACCCAATTAACCCAATCCAACTCAACCCAGGAGCCCAACCCAACCCAACCAAACCAAACCCAACCCAACCAAACCCAACCCAACCCAACCAAACCAAACCCAACCCAACCCAACCAAACCCAACCAAACCAAACCCAGCCCAACCAAACCCAACCCAACCCAGCCTAACCAAACCCAGCCCAACCGAACCCAACCCAACCCAACCCAATCAAAACCAACCCAACCCAACCAACCCAACCCATCCCAACCAAACCCAGCCCAACCAAACCCAACCCAGCCCAGCCCAACCCAACCCAACCCAACCCAATCCAACCCAACCCAACCAAACCAAACCCAATTAACCCAATCCAACTCAACCCAACCTAACCCAACCCAACCCAACCCAACCAAACCCAACCCAATTAACCGAACCCAACTCAACCCAGCCCAACCCAACCCAGCCCAATCAAACCCAACCCAACCCAAACCAACCAAACCCAACCCAATTAACCCAACCCAGCCCAACCAAACCCAACCCAACTCAACCCAATCCAACTCAACCCAACCTAACCCAACCCAACCAAACCAAACCAAACCCAACCCAATTAACCCAACCCAACTCAACCCAGCCCAACCCAACCCAGCCCAATCAAACCCAACCCAGCCCAAACCAACCAAACCCAACCCAATTAACCCAACCCAACTCAACCCAGCCCAACCGAACCCAGCCCAACCCAACCCAACCCAACCCAACCCAACCCAACCCAACCCAACCCAACCCAACCCAACCCAACCAAACCAAACCCAACCCATCCCAACCAAACCCAACCCATCCCAGCCCAACCCATCCCAACCCAACCCAACCCAACCCAACCCAACCAAACCAAACCCAACCAAACCCAACCCAACCCAACCTAACCCAACCAAACCCAATTAACCCAATCCAACTCAACCCAGGAGCCCAACCTATCCCAACCCAACCAAACCAAACCCAACCTAACCCAACCAAACCCAATTAACCCAATCCAACTCAACCCAGGAGCCCAACCCTACCCAACCAAACCAAACCCAACCCAACCAAACCCAACCCAACCCAACCGAGCTGGTGTCTCATGCAGGGCAACTTACCCAGCCCCAATCTCGGTCCCAGGGTGTCAAGCAGTACGCTCCCACCACTACCTGCTCTCTTTTTAACACTTTTGGATACGTATGCAAATGAGGAATAGGCCTAGTTATTTTATTATACTCAGTGTCTTAGTCAGTCGATCAGTGCACTCATTTAGAGAAAACGTATTAAAACTCATTTCCATTTTCCACCCCCCCCCCCTTATTCGTAGGCAAACCCAAACTGAAAGGCAAAGCGTTGGATATCGTCCTCGGCAGCCTAGCCGGTGTCATTTGTCTCCTTGCCTGCAGTGGGTACACCCTCTCAAGATTCAAGAAAGAAGAGGATGATTCCTCCAACAATTTGGTGGAAGCTGAATCAGTGGCGTAGGTTTACTCCTAAAAATAATGGCACTCCAGCTACAATTTCACAGAAACAATAATGACATGTACAAGTTTGTTTATTTAATGTTTTTAATAGAAACATCACAATTTGGGTTAGATTGTTAGTTTTTCAAGTTAATATGCAAGGGAACAAAAAAGGTTATGATTTGCCATGTAGGCCTAAACGTTCTATCCACACCCGTTCACTTGACTGGATGGGAAACAACACACCAAAATTGCCCGTTCCAGCTAGAATTTTTGTTAATACAATTAACCACCGACTTTTATAAAATGTGGCCCCACCCCCAAGAGATATATTTTTCTACAAAGTGACGATTTCACTGAAATTTGTTGCAGTGGCGCACCTGGGGGCCCTCGTGGGCATGAGCCCCCGCCCAAGACATTGATCGATTTTTTTGGCATTTTTTTTGGTCCACAATTTGACCGTGGTGATATTTATGTGGCCTTTTTTCGAGTAGTATAATAGGGGTGTAAATGGCACCACCAACGTCAAACAAATTCGCCCCCAAAAAACAAAAATTAAAAAAACCCAAATTGCAGCCAAAAATTGTGGGCAACATTATTTGAAAAATTCAAATTTCTAAAAAAAAAAAAAATTGAAAAAGAATTGTGAGACCCCCCCCCCCCCAGCCAAATCCTGGGTGCGCCACTGTCTTGCAGCATTTTGTATTATATTGCGGAGACTGTATTTTATTTCTGTCCTGGAAAAAATACGATACAGTGTAAAAACTTAAATCTCAAAAGAATACCTGAGATTCTGGTGACACAATGACCAACACAAAGGGGGGGGGGGTGGGGGTGGGGGTGGGGGTGGGGGTTCCCTTCTTTCACCTATTACGCTACATAATGCGCCTGGTTACTTTGTCCTTTCTATTGTAGGGCAACGGGTACGGGTACAGCATGCCAATCTCATGTTCAGTTTTTGTGAATTCTTATGAACGCCCAGATCTCTTGTTCGCTCTCGCGTTAACTCAGTAAAAGCAAACTCCCCACTCCCTAAAATAGCTTTGCTAGTTACTTCATTTTCCTTGGAATTCATGTACATTTTCCCCGTAAAATTTCTTGAAGACTTTGTTTTTTTTCTGGTTTGAAAGCACTGCTTCATTTAAAATAAAATTTGGAAATACAATGTACATCCAAGTACGTTATTTGCCCACTTTTAATTAGCATAATTAATAGAGGCTTTTGATATTTTGTATTATTGAAAACTTCTTTCTTGTTTCCAAACAGCCTGAAAATGATTCCATCACTTTGTCTTAAGGATCAATATCTATTCTGAAAAGGCAAACGTCTCATCTTCAACACTTCAATGATCAATCAATCAAGTTCACGAGGCAAACGCAAGTGGGCTTTCTCTCTTTTGAGTTTTGTTTTAATATCTAAAAGTTGGGTCTCATAAAAAAACCTGACTTCAAGCCTTTAAAAACGGTCTTTATCTGGACCAGAGTGTGAAGCATTTCATTAAAATTTGACGTTAACAAACTTGAGGATACAAGTGAGAGTGCTGTTTCAAATTAAAGACGGCTAATTCGTGAAAATATAAAAATTGTCTTTGAAAAGTACCAGAAAAGATGAAACGTAGAATTCAGAAAACCATGAATGGTGGCAAACCGAAAATGCACTTGACAATTGGTTATTTTTTTCACAAACTTGACAACCCTCTTTATATCTGAAGAAAAGACAGACATTTAAATGTTTATAGTAGCGGCGTAAGGAGGGTCAAACCTCTGGGGACAACAGAGAGTTTATCAAGTCTTCAAGAGGCACAACAGGTATGGTCAAAGGAAACATATCATTGTTTTCAATTCAAAATTTCAAATGGGGGACGTCAGGGGGTACGTGCCCCCCCCCCCCTTCCCAAGTTACGCTGCTGGTATATAGTCTACGAACCGATTTGGAATGTTGAGTTTTTAGAACATTTATGGACATTTTTGAAATCAGACTCATGGCCCGAATTCATCTAGGTAAACATTCACGGTAATATGATTGGTCAGTCTCGACATGTGATGACTGCCTGACTGACCAATCCAATCGACTTGTTCTAATGGAACTTGTCGAATTTCCAACACCTTTGTTTCATATGTACAGAGACTTGGTGGTCTTCAACGGCAATGTTGGAGTGCATGTACAGTTCAAAATCGTGTAATTATATGACATTACAATTTTCAATGAATAAACTGCAAAGGTACGAACATTTTCTCTACCATGACTATTAATTTGTAAACTGTAATGACCAACCAAAAACAACCTAGTATTTGAATTTTGCCTAACATTGCCCTTAAGTTTGCTTAACATTGCTCTAACACACCACTATCAGTAGCTACAACTACACAGCTATACAAATAATATACAAAAAGCTACGACAATTACAAATTTTTGATTAAAATAAAAACCCAAGCAAGTAATAAGAGCAATATTGGTAAAAAATATAAAACTCTTGACCGAGCCAGATACCAAATTTTCTTTTCACTCAAATTCTGGCAGAGTTTTTTTTTCAAATGTTTATCCTCTGAGTTTCAACATCATAAGATATTTTACCTCAAGAAAAATTTCAAGCGGGTAGCCGATACTTGTTAAAAAGCAAATGAATCCGGAGACCAGTATACAATCCGAGAAATTTGAGATTTCATTACAGCTTAGGGGTTCCCTGGAAAAGTCTTTCTGCCCTTTCAGAAACTCAATGACCAGAACAATGCTTACTCCTTACAGACAATGAAATTCGTGAGGCAAAAAGAAATAAATATGAAGTTGCATGTTCTCCAGTGTTGTTCACACAAGTTACAAACATTTTCAAGGTAAAAGTACAACCAAAAAAAGTCACGAACTGTTAGTTTTTGCAAGCAAGTGCTTCACTCATACTTTTTGTACTCATCAGAAAGTATTCGATTTGGCAAGTGAATGATCAGCCAGTGATAATTTCGACCCCTTGAACAAGAAAATTAAAACTGATGGAATTTTTGTTAACATTTTATCATCGATTTGTCTATTCATGTCTTTTACAAAGAACCATTGTCTCCAGTGTGACACAAGGTTCGAATGCATAACTGTCTCTTAAAAAGGTGGATTCAGATGTGCCCACACAAGGTAAAACAAAAAATCTCAAGGCAGCTTGTCCGAAAGCTTAAAAAAACGAATTTGCCTGCAAAGTTACGTAAAACGTAGAATGAAAGCAACCTTTAATGACATTAAATTGACAGTTCCTCATTTTACACAGTGATTGAGATGATGCTGACATGATACAAAAACGTAAAGGGGACAAAATTGTAACAATGTTACAAACTGAAAATGAGACAGCTGAATCCACCTCTTACTATCTTTTGGATGTGGGTTTAAAAATCGATTTTGATTTTGTTTTGTAGTGTACGGGAAAAAAGTCCCATTCTGTACAAAGATTTAGCAAGTATTGGTGCGATTCAGTTCAGTACATCAAAGTTACTGTTCCTCTCCGCTGGGCATCAATGGTAGTTGAAGTTAAATCTGGCAAAAGAATAAAATAGACACATAATTTTTTGACTTGGCAAAAGAATAAACAAAACGCATAAATTATCGACTGGAATGCAAACAGACTAAGATGAATAAATTAAAATGCTTTACTGATTCAATTTAAGTTCTATTGAGTCATGAGCTGGCTACAAGAAGTGATGGCCATCAGAGCAGAAATGCCGTGTTGACTCCACAACAGTCAAAATACATGTATTGATAAAACTTTTTTTTTTCTGTTGTACTTTTTGCACATGTTCAACATACAAACATGTTGAATGTGTATTAGGGCTTGTCCGAATATACCGAATACTCGAATATTCAATCTTCAACTGAAAATTCGAATAGCTTTTTGTCGGTTTGAATATTCGAAAACAAACAAATATGCACACAAACACACACACACGCCTGTGATGTTGTTTTATCATAAAGTTGCAGCGTTTTTTTTGTCTACTGGAACTTTTTGAGTGGACAACGGTTCATCGCTCATATCCTTTTAGGTTAAAGCCCGTTATAGTTATAATATGCTGACTGCGCAACACTCAGGCAACCCATATCGACTGCCGCAAGCACGCAGTTGCAGCTGGCAGTTTTGAATATCCGATATTCGGTAAAACACAGTTTTGAGTAATCGAATACCAAATTATTTGAACATGGACAGCCCTAAGATGTACAGGGTGAGTAAAAACGAAACACAAATGTTGGGACCATTGTTTTAGTGAAGTTCTGCATGTCGCACTTTCAAAATCTAGGATATTAAAGCCTCATTCATAGGCTTTCTTTTAGTACAAGAATCATTCAAGTCACTCATGTACTCCCAAGTTACGGAATTTTAAACACAACCACCGTTTTAAGGTTCTGTCCACGAACACAAAAAAGTTCATTGTTCTTTCAGCAAAACGAAAACAAATCACATAGGAATGTGTGTGAATTTTTTTCGTTTGCTGAAAGAACGCACACCTTTTTTGTGATCCGTGGACAGAACTTTTAAACCGTTTAAAAGTTGTGTTTAAATTCCGTAACTTGAAAAGTACATCAGTGATTTGAATGATTCTTGTACTAGAAGAAAGCTTATGAATTGGGCTTTCATGTCATAGATTTTGAAAGTGCTACATGCAGAACTTCAATAAAACAAAACTCCCGACATTTGGGTTTCGTTTTTTTTTTACTAACCCTGTATGTTCAACATACATACATGCAACATAAATGCACAACCAGAAGTGCTTGAGTCAATAAGTCATGTCTATAGTGAGACCGGAACTCTTATGTTGAATTGTAAACAATGATATCAATCAATGTAGACACCTGCCAGGCCAATTTGAAAGTAATACCTCCCTGGTCATGATGATAACCTACCTGCTTAATAACTGAGGTAAGCTTGAGATGATAGGCCCATAGCCCGGTGCGTTATCATAAAGCTCAAACAATGGGGCTGCTACTAGCTTGTAGTTTCTGGGCACGGCAAACAGGGCTGTCAAAGAGACATGGGGGAAAAAGGGAGAGTTTAAAGGAATGGACCTTTCCTGTCTGTCCATCAACAAGCTGCACTGACCGGATACATCATGGATTTTGTTCTAAACCACTGTGAGAAGTATAGCCAAAGTAAATCCAGACTGGGATCTTGAATGATGAAAAACACGCCAAACGAAATCAGGCCTACTTTACTGACTACTTAGAAAGCAAAATTCTCCAAAATTTTCATTGGGTAAAGAAAAGGTACTCAGTATTTCACCAACCAAGTTTGAAGACTCAACTCACTATTTAAAGGAGAGTTTCTTCAATATTTTGCAACATGAGAGGGAGTCGAGTGATTTCAAAATTAGGCTAAAGACTAGACTGGTACATGTCCAACCGTGGTCCAACTGTTTGACAAGACTGACCTCTACATTCAATGCCATAGTGGCTGACTATGGAGAAATGTGTAGAAATAGAGACTAGTACCAGATGTTTCTTTTGAAAAAGTTGATTGATGCAGTACTGAAGGGCTGTTGGACTGGTTGTTTCAGGTGCCAGTCTATTTTCTTGTATTGGACGTTTTCAATACCTTAAGTTTTGGGACTCTCATTCACAGTACTGAGAGTCCTAAACTTTCGAACTAAGCCAAATCATGAATGATTCACCAAGGAACTTTAGCAAGGACTTGAAATCAGAGAGTCCAACTAATCTATAAACCGTATGTTAAAAGAACTGAGTTTAAAGATGGTATAAAAAAGGAGGTTTACCTTTTTCTTGAAGCTGTACAAAATACAGTCTTTTGTGTTCCTTTGGCTTCGTGATGTGTGCTGGAATATAGGGATACTGTTGACAAAATAACAAGAATGACCTTAAATAAAACCCATTCAAACTTCAAAGTGACCCAAAAAGTACCTAGCAATATTGACTACTGGAGTACATGTATACAGTTTCTGAGGCTGCAAAAAGACGGAATTGCAACAAGGGACAAGATTTCCACGAACCTGAGGGGGCTCAAAGTTGGGTCGGTACCAGTTGGCTATGACGTCCTCTACCATCCACTCCTGTTGAATACCATCTTGCCTCCCTAGGATCTGGGGAAAAGTCAAAGAACTGTCAAATAACCTGCTCCAATTAGATAAAATCAGACACTGGGTAAGTCATCACGAAATTATGATTAGAAAGACAATCATTTTACAAACCTCTGTCATTAGTCTCTTGAGTCCCTCCACTTCATCCTCGCCAGCGTTCAACTCCCCTCCGGGCCTAAATGGAATGACCAATTTAGAAAGATTAATTGTCAACTAAAATCAAAGAATTAAGTATATAGCAAGTATATATTACTCGTAAATGTTTCCTAAAGTGGTGAATATGTGGTGAGAGTGGCGACGGTAAATAATTTATCAGTAAAGGAGTAAAGCCCGTGACTTGTAAAATCAGTAGGAGTAAGCCGGCGACTTGTAACATTAGTTTAGGAGTAAGTCCGCGGCTTTGACAAATTAACTTGAGACTTTACTAGAAAATTTCATTTAATCATGCAATAATTATTAGTCCACATTAGCGGACAAATGTAAAATCCATGTTACAGGCAAATGTATTTACAGGTAAAATGACTGCGATTGTAATTTGGTGATGAATTGACCACGGATATATAAAAGCGCTTACAGTTTGAAGAATGTCGTTCCAAGTTGCAGCAGCAGTACATGCGGTAGGCCATGCTCGTGAACGATGAGCACGCCCTCTACTGACCGACGAGTGCCTATCTTCTCAAAGTCTTCTCTCATGCGTTGGAATCGAGCCGACACTGAGGCATCTTTCTCGTACAATGGCTCCTTCGTACCAAATGTGTAATTTGTAAGCGGATAACTGCAAATGGGGTAAGAAGAACAGTTAACACACAAAAAAATTAGTTGTTTTTATTCAAAGTGCCCACTTTTTATCTTTAAACAGCAGCAGAACCATCTTTGGAAAGAAAGTTGTATCCAGACACCACTTCTGTGGTTGTTTACCAAATCTATGGAGAGTCGAGGGCATTTTCAACATGTTAAAAGTATTTTCTAACAACCTTAGAAATGTTTCACAGTCCTCATGTTTTTTTCAACGTTTTTTGCACCGACTGACCTTCATTGAGATAATACAACATGTATTACCTGTGGAAACTTACTTAAGTAAGTTTCCACAGGGAGAAATGGCTTTAAGGGAAATAAATAAGTTATCAGGACAGGAGAATCCCTGTACAAGGTCAAGAACATCATAAAGACTGTATTTAAAGTGTATCGAAATATGAAAATGTTAGGATCTCAGAATCTTAGACAGTTAACTAGCATGACTAGACATCCCCACTGTCGCTTTAGGCATCATCATCCAGGATTCAACATTCTTTCCCAATATTTGAGTTCTTTTTTAGAACTGTTATAGTTAAGCCAGATCATAGATCATGCTAGCCCCACTAGTGTGGCCGTCGGTATGCTGCGCTGAACCTAAGGCCACACACCGTGGTACCGCGCGCTACTGAGGACGAAGTTTTCATAAAATTCAGGGCAGTTTCTTACATTCTCAGTTTCTTACTTTCTTATGGTTGTATTCTATGATGTCTCACCTATCACTTCTGGGATGCTTAGGTCTAATGATGTTCCATTTTCCGAGATATTCTTCAATCTTTCTGGAGCCCATATGCACTCGTGAAACGTCTGGTGGTGGCAGCCATTTTGAATGTGACAAGAGATGACCTCAAGCTGTGACGTCGCGTTTATGCAAATTGCTTGTCGAGCGCGCGAGGGCGCGAGTTGCAAATGCGACGGCTGTTTCCTGTGCCGTAGATCCTGAATAGAGATCGGTGCACGTGGCCCCCTGACGATAAATGCATGGTACAGGAAACAGCCGTCGCATTTGCAACTCGCGCCCTCGCGCGCTCGACAAGCAATTTGCATACACGCGACGTCACAGCTTGAGGTCATCTCTTGTCCCATTCAAAATGGCTGCCATCACCAGACGTTTCACGAGTGCATATGGACTCCAGAAAGATTGAAGAATATCTCGGAAAATGGAACATCATTAGACCTTAGCATTCCAGAAGTGATTGGTGAGACATCATAGAATACAACCATAAGAAAGTAAGAAACTGAGAATGTAAGAAACTGCCCTGAATTTTATGAAAACTTCGTCCTCAGTAGCGCGCGGTACCACGGTGTGGGGTCGCACTAAAAAGCGTCAACACAGCGTCAACACATGACAGAAGCGTCAACACACCGTCAACACATCCAAAACACATTCTGAATTGACAAAAATGGTATATAATTGTAAAGCATAGAATAAAAGAGATTTTCCTTTGGATTGAGTTTCCATTTCGTGGTAACAAATATAGTATTTTCACGCGAAAAAACATGACCTTTCACTTGCACGGCCGTTGTCCGCCATCTTGACTTCGCACAAAGCTTGGACTACACCATTTCAAGTAGGGGTGTGTAGGTAATGACATTATCGTGTCATAAACATTAACAACAGAGGGATACCAGATCTGTAAGGACTGAGGATCGGAGTGGTGGATCATTAATTTGTGAGTTGTGTTTATGTTTCATTCATAAATACCTCAGACAGTTTAGCTATTCCTATTGGTCGAGAGCCCGTCACGTGGCCGGTCTTAAACGGATGATAAAGACATGGCTAGCTGATAAAGACATGGCTAGCTGGTCTTAAACACTTTTCCAGTGTCACAATAAAATGTGGACTCCTAAAAATCCAGTGCCTCTTACCGTTTCATTGGTTGAACGTTCACAATCCTCACGTAGGCATGCGCAACACTACAAGCGAGTCAGAATTTTATAGTTCTAAATTCAAAACGCAACGCCCCAGGTGCGTTCTGCGTGACATCGCGCAGAACATGTTACGCGCGCGTCAATCTCCATAAAAGGGTTGTTTACATCTTACTCGCCAGCTGAACACTCCATTCTTTTGCTAGAGGGATGTTTCAAAAAGCATGAAGTGAACTTGTTGAACAAAATCGGGATATTTTGAACGAATTATTTGATATTTTTTTACGGATAAGGTATTTATGAATGGGAATAAATATGTGCTCGGTCGGTATTTATCACTCTGTTTAATACCGCTTAGAGTCTGGGTGCTGATAATTACCCTCGCCTCCGGCTCGGGTAATTATCAGCACCCAGACTCTAAGCGGTATTAAACGAGTGATAAAAACCTCCGGAGCACACATTTATTCCCTTATTTTATACTTTATTGAAATGGACATCTTTTGGTATTGGCCGGCCGCGCCCTCTCTGTTGCTTTATTGTACAACGTTATCACCCTTTAGCATAATGGTATGGTCTACCGAGGCAACATGGCAGCCGATTTCGGAGCGGCACGGAGAGCCAATATTCTTGAACGGATAATCGCAATTTTCAGACGCTTAACAGACGTTTAACCTATTAATTTTAAGCCAAATCTTGTTTCTGTCCATAATGTATGGGTTACATACTGCTTTTGTCACTTTTGATGCATTTTGGATGTGTTGACGCTGTGTTGACGCTTTGGAGTGTGTTGACGCTGTGTTGACGCTTTTTAGTATGACCGACGGTGTGTGGCCTTAGGTTCAGCGCAGCATACCGACGGCCACACTAGTGGGGCTAAGATCATGCATGACCATGTTTCTTTTTTTATCACGTTTTAGGCCTATCACATTTATCATGTTTATGGAGCCGTCAGCATGGTCAGTGGCTGTGTGATTTTTGAATCTGCAAACAAATAGTTGACGAAATATCGGCAATATTTATTATTAATATTTTACATGTCAAATCTGACCCTGCAAACGCGGCTTGACTGGACTGGCTGACGTTGCTACACAAAAACGCAACACACAAGCAAACAGGTGGGCACGATATTGAATGACAACGGGTCAACGCGATGCGCGTCTCAATCTCATCTCGCGTGATAAACAAAACATGATGAACATGATGAATGTCAACCCAACTTTACAAAGCCGTTTCCCAACAATTCTTCAGTTTTACAGACACTGCAAGTACTCACAGGACAGCTGTTCTCTCCCTTGGTACATAATTCGACGTATCATTCTTCATAGATGCTGGGTTACTGTCTAACCGATCGTTTCGGTATTTCGGCCACCCTGCTGCACGCTGATTAGCCGCCATTTTGAGATTTTCCGCTCGCACTGTTTCGCCGTCTCTTGAGGGCGATCTACTCAGAAGGTGGCGCTCCGATCGCGTAATTTTTATTCCTAGGAGGGTTAGGGGCAATGTCATGAATAATTCATGTTTATCCATGAGAACGGACAATGACATCAACAGCATTGTTAGTTACTCAACTATAGTTACAATACATTAAAGCATTTTAAAGAACGGTTGTCGTCGAGCTACCACACAGTAGCCTAGTGGATAGCGAGATGAGCTTATGGATACAAAGATCCCTGGTTCGAATCCACGTCGTCGCTGCTCATTTTCATCAGCTATTTTTCTTCTCCAAATTTATCACTGAGATAATTTTAAATTAAGGGGAAAATAGAACGAGAACCTAAGTCTTGCAATGATTCAAAGGAAAAACTGAATTATTCATAACATTGCCCCTAACCCTCCTAGGAAAAAAAATTACGCGCTCCGATCTGTGCCGATTTCAGCTGCGATCCCAGACCGTACAAGTAAATAAACTTCAATAGACCCCAGTGGTAAATACCCCCACTTCCAACATTTTGAAAAAAAAAAATACTCACAACTCTCCAAGGTGTTTGAGACACACGCACATCAAAATAAAGCTTATTTCATCATTTATCATTCTCTATTTTGGGTTTTTTTTAGCGGGGGGGGGGGGGTAATCCAATGACTTTTTGGAGAAATTTCAATCAATCTAAGCATGGTCTAAGTAGTCATTAAGCCCATCGTCATTTTGAAAAATGATGCTGTAATGCAAAAAAAGAGCAATTTTCAGGCCCGATTTCATCCACATTTCACAGAAATACAAGCTCGCAGTCACGGCTTCCATCCTGTTTTTTGTGTGTGGCAAACTCTCAAGTTCATGGCCTACAAAATGCTCTAATAGCAGAACATTTGAGGGCATATGAAAATCGTGATTTTGCCGGCGTAAGCAATTTTGGGCCTATTTACTGGCCTGCACCCTGATGGTTTATCTCATAGACATCTTAAGATGGTTACGGCTGGAACAACACATGGGTCCATAGGCATAGGCGCGTGTGTGATTTCCAGCCGTATATAGCCAAGTCAGACTCACGCGGCCGGCCTAATACATGTACATTGTACAACAACGTCTCGACCCAAGACTAAAGACTTAAAGGAAATAGGGCATGATTTTTTTTATTCCTCCATGATACAACAGATATAATAGATAAGCTTCCCGTCCCGTGTTTGAGTCAAGTCTGCCTATGTATTTAGTCCTCGTCTGACATTGATGATTAAGTTGGATTTTTCGATGAAGTGACCCTAAAATTCTATAAAGCATAATTGTAAACCACGCCACGAAAGCAGGTCTTTAGGATAAAGGAGTTATTGCTTAAAATTATAGAATTATATAATGGGACCCGTGCAGTAGGGCCTGCTGTCCGTCATATATTCTGATAATTTGTTGTGTTGTTGTTGTTGTTGTTTGTTGCGTAATATTTATTATTTCTTAGGTATGGAATGCATGACATCACAACCTCATTACATTATATTAAATGCGTCTTTTCTTACACGAAAAGCATTCCGACTTGCAGATTGTCACATGTATGTTCGTGGTGATGCAACTCGTCCACTGCAAAAACAACATTTGCCTGAAATTTTAGCGTAATTTGGCCACGCGTGCCGCCTGACCAGCGCGCGCTGCGGCCCCGGCATGGGACTTTGCCTTTTACGGTAATGGAATGCATCGTGCAACAGGTTCTGATGTTTAGCTACCGGACACAGTGCACAAACGGAGCGGACGGTACTGGACGAGTGACCGGCGTGTGTGGGTCGCGTGCCCGGCAGAGTCGCGCCGGGTGGCATGGTGGTGATTATCGGACGAGGTTGAGGTGGGGGGGGGGGGGGATAAATGGTTGATTTCCTGACCAGGTTTAAATTTCAGATATTTGACAGTGTTTCGCAATTATTAGGAAGAGACGTTCTTAGTATGAAGGATTTTTTTTCTTCAGAATGTGACTATCGGAATTAATCCACGAAAAGAAAAGTTGTCGTTCACCATCGAATCCACTGAACTCTTTCATATTAAATAGGTCTGTAATATGATCGACATACCTATAAAGGGTGAGTCAAAAAGAAAGTGACCCGGATTAATGGGTTTGTTTTTTTTAAAAAGCAATCAAATTTAATACATGAATGAAATATGTCTTAAAAGAGTATGTTCTTCCACAAAATACTAAAATTGATCCATGCTATCAGAAATTATGCATTTTTTTTTTTTTTACTAAAGAACCTATTTTTATAGCTGTCCATTGAATGCCATTGGAAGCTATAGAGCTGACTAAGAATTACAAATTACACACGTATTCGAATACAAATAGGATTTAATCATTTGAGTCAAGACTGACACATTATTTTTGCTGTCAGATTTTGTGTTTTGAATTAGGCTATAAGAAACAAGTCCACTCTTTTTTTCCTGAAATATTGATGGCGATACTTGTCTGTTTTCCTTTGCAAGTTTTTGTTTATTCATGGAGGTGGGAAAACGTTTATGTCTCATGGTATTTTAATGGGTATTCATCAGTACGTAGAATGTTAAATGATCTGTGGTGGAGAGCTGAATGTTGTGATCTTTTTATTAAAATATTCATAACTTGGGAATAGAGTATGCAAATTAAGTGAAATTTTCACCGTCACTAGTCAATAACCTGTGCTTTATCCCTATGTTATTTTTGTGAAATAGAGCGAGCTACAAATTATTTAAAAAAAACTATAACACTGGATCAAAAGTGTAAAGGACAAACAGTAAAAGACGAAAACATCCTTTGAGTCAATGGACAAAAACGTTACAAAGTTTATTCTCGAAAATATAAATGAGGAACTTTCTCATTCTTCTGCCTGGTGATTCATTTTCAAGGGCAGCTCAAAACCATCTGTGATTGGAGACATTCCTCCGTACCAAGGCCCAGTCTGATCTTGAAGGAGGAAAATTGGTGGCACGCGCCAGAAACGAGGCGATTTCCATATATGGTCAAGCCGGCATGCGCCGCCGATGAGAGCCCGTCAAATCCTGGCCATCTGTCCACCCCAAAATGCCTCGACAAACAGTCGAATCCGGCACCTAGGGAAACCCCGAAGAGATGAAGTTGGGATATTTTGGGGTCCCCAAACAGCCTTGTAACTCCACAAATATGCCGAATGCTCATCAAAGGGCAATAATTGCAGAAAATGCTCGACTTAAACTTTGAAATTGAATTTCTCCGACTCCTTGTGAGTTTGCTTGAACCAGTTGGAACTTCTTGAACAGTTGAACTGACAAAAGATTACCCCTACATACCGGAGCACCAACACATTACACTTTCCTTTATATTCGTTCAAGTGTTTGACAACATGAATTTCATGTGTCTTCAAAAGGAAAAAAAAATATTCGTGGTAATGATTACTTGCAAATGTACACCTATTAACATCTTCCAAATGTAAAATGCTCTTAATTATGTGGGAAAACTTTGAAAATGAAAGGATCGGAAACTTAAATTAAAATTCCAGCGATCGATGTTGACATTGTGTAATAATGTCATCGATTCCTTCTTAAAGGGTTCATGCGATGAATATTTTTAGGAACACATTTTGTGCAACTTTCTACTCCTCCCAAATGTATGAAAACTATTTACATCCCTTTTTGGTTAATTTGATTGAAAACTGCACTAGACATTTCTTTTTTAATTCATGCTTTTCCTGACACTGAGGGCGCTGTTGCTGTGACGTCATTTCAAGGGTTTTCTGTTTAAATTGTGAACCCAACATTTGCTCATTGAAAACATTTTGTGAGAAAGGTTTGCTCAATGGCCTACTGCCATGTACTGAAACAACAACGAATCACCAACGATTTTTTTTACGACAGCAAAGTATCCAAAATTCTAGCAACTTTGTGTGCTGAAATGACTGTAATGTTAAGGTTTCTGCCCGGAATAGCATCACAGTTTTGCTTATGAATATGGAAATTCGCATTAGCCTAAAACAAAAACAGGCTCCAAAATATACCCTTTGAAAATAGCAAAACGAAAATTGAAAATGAGATTAAATAGGACACCAGGTGCATTTTCAAGGATTGCATGAAAAAATACATTGCATGGGAATGGGCCCTTTCATGTTTAATTTACTAAAATAATATAAATACCCAACCAACATGGAAGAGTCCTAACCCTAAATAGAATCAGCCATACTCTGTCAAATTCAATAAATCATCCGTGAAATAGAACATCAAAATCTGACGTTTGTTAGTAGAAACAAAACCTGTTCCTCTTTCTGAACTTAGTCGCAGATAATACGCACACCTACATGTATTTTGGCCACACACACTGACACACATCCCAAACCGCACAGCCAACATTAGCCCAGTAATGCTTGTTTATTGTTAGTAACACCAGCGATTCTGTACGCCACCCAAAGAAGTGCGGAGTATACTCCAGATTAGAACATTACTCTTCAAATTATTTACTTGATGTTACGTCATGCGTCAAGTACATGCCTGTTCGGAAGCTACTCGTACGCCGAATTGTTTTCGCAGGTGTTTTCCAGTAGTACCTTAGACCCTATGCTTGGATTCGTTGTTCGAGACATAAATGTGTGAATTTTGAGCAGCCTAAACGCTTGACAATATTTGTCATGGAATTTTTAATCGGTACATTTTTTAATTAAAACGCTGCAAATGAATACTAACTCTCTTCAAGCCCAGGTTGTGTTGCATCTCTTTTTTTCAAAGATTGTGCAAACTGTAAAAAAAATAATAATAACGAAGATTGTTAACTATCGGTATATATGAAAACACCAATTTTAAAATTTTCCTTTTCAATTTTGAATGCTTTATGGAAAAGAAAGTTTAGAGCTATCATCGCAAATTTAAAAAAAAAATCCCTATAATTTATCTTGACCTGTTGTACATAAATTTTAGATAATTTCTCAAGTCAGACTGGTTCGTGACAAAATATATTTTTTATAAACCTCCATAACTAATTAATTCTCATATTGTCTTTGACCTATTTTTATACTTTTCCTTTCTTCAATTTCTTACTGAATCAAATCGAATACTGCACTAATATTATTTTTAAAACTTTATTTAACGATAATTTTTTGATTGGACGCAAAGTCGGTTCTGCTTGGTGGGTGGGCATTGTCTAATGAAGCAAATCGTCAAAACCAGAACAAAGAGCCTCCCAAAAAATCATAAAAGAAATATCCAAAGCTTTGTTTGGCTTTCCTTAAGCCCATCAATTAGACAATGACAACCGAATAACATCACTAGTGACGAAATTTGATCTTCAAACTAGCCGACAGCTATATTCATAACGGCGTCTGGCAAAACTGGTAACCGCACAAAAGGTATCACAGTACATATACACTCCAGCTGATTATATACTGCAGCACACCATTGCAGAGCACACCCACAACACGAATCTTAATCATAATCTTATGATGTTCTTGAAGTTTACGCTCCCCACCCCCTTGGGGGTGGTCGAACCATTAAGCATGCGCAGAAGTTGTCCCCCACCGCACATGCCGATGCATTGCACGGATACCATTGGACATGTACGCCACGGGATACTGGAGCGGTTTTACCGCGTGTTTTTCCCCCGCGTCCACCGGCCGAGGTATCGGTGTCAGGCGGGTGACACTTGTTGCATGCGCGCGCAGTGGCTTTCGTTCCTTGATGATGATCACCGACTACCGACGACTGAGTGTAATCGGTGAAAAGCAGATGTGAGAACAAGAAAGTGGTCAGTTGGTCACAGGACACACAGAGAGAAGCATCGCCAAGTTTTGCCCCACGTCATCTTGAAAGGATATCCTAAGTTGGAGACCAATTTTCTTTTGAGATTGTTCTTATACCAACGGTCAGATCTAAATCACAATGCCTCGGTCTTTTCTGGTTCGCCGTTTTGTAAGGCCGCCTGTCGCAGAACAATCCACTAAATGGGACAAGTGTGCTACCCCTGCCAGCGACGATGAGGGTAAGATATCCTAATATTCCTTTCTCCATTTTTTATCCTAAATCACTGAAGATTTTACACTCCTAATTTCCGGAGCTCGTATATTCGGCCCTTGTTACTGTGTTGTGCAGTTTCTGTCCCGGTGTTGACCCCGTTTTGCCCCGGGCGGCTGTCCCAATATCCACGGTGCCCTGCAAGTTTCGGATCTCGGTGATTTGTTGTGTTTATACACGTTCTCAAGTTCAAGACAAAGAAGGTCATTATAACCTGACTAGTTTGACTGTTTTTGTAAGATTTTTTTTTCTGCCACTTTACACAACACAGTCCTGCATTATGGCTTGTCTATCGTTCTATGCTCATAAAACATGTATTATTTCACTCACCCCCCCCAAAAAAATTATGTATTGTTTTAACAATCTTGCCTTCTTGTTTCGGTATATTAGCCATTAGTCAATCAATTGGGAAAATTGTGACTCGGTGTATTATGGTTTGGTAAAACATTTCTTACGTTTCTACACCTGATCTATATCATATTTCGATATTGTTACTGATTTTTGTCATTTATAATTGTATCGATATACCTTTATAAGTTAAATGATCGTCGCATGCATAGAAACGTATCCCTGCATTGTGTCCTATATTCCCGTTGGTTGTATTTAATGTTATCAAAACAACCGAATCCAGAAAATGCAAAAAAAAAAAAAAAAAACCAAAAAAGAAACCCGCCGAAAATCCAGAAGACACTTAAATCAAGAAAAATCTTAAAATCGGGCCCAAACTTGACTACTCCTTATCTAAGAAATGATCGAAATCCTGCAAATCTGACAGTGGTTTCTGTAGTTATTCTTTGTGAAATCCACACCGTGTCTGTGCCAGGACCCTTGCCGATTTCAGCCACTTTCCCAGGCCATCGATAGCACCCATCTATTTCCAGCACCTCTCGTTAGCGAGCTAGTGGGATCCATAATAGTCGGCTCCATGTCTAGCCCTAATCAGTAATACTTGCTGGAGTTTCCTAGAGTTGTCGTGACAAATTCACTGGAGTCCGATTTCATGAAGTGATTCCTTAGAGAGAAAAAAAAGTGATCACGAATGAAGTAAAGAGAATGTGCATTTGAACCACACAAAGACAAAGACGACGTCTGCCAAATGCGACCAGTTCTTTTAAGTCTCTCAAAGACTCAAAACTTACCCGAAGAGCTTTACCCCTGAAGTTCACTTTTCTCCCACTTTTCTTGGTTATCAATAATAATATCCAATCTGCCACCACACCAGTCATTATATGTTTTCATACTATACACATACCCAGATTGTGTGCTATATCAACAAAATATTCATACTAGTTTTTCAAACAAAAAGAACATTCCCTTCTTTATAAAGATCATTATGAAGTTGTTTATATAAGACTCCACCCAGAAAGACATATTCCACATTTATTGTGCGAAAAAAAATGCCAGATACTGTCGCTGTTTTGGACATTTTGTTATAGTTGGTTGAAACGAGTTGCCAGATTTTCTCTGTTAAATATATTCTGTCCTGTACATAGTTGTCTCCCTTAATGGTTTGGGTTTTTTTAGTTGTTTTCTATAAAAACAAATCTCTAATCTTCATTGAGTTGATTTGAGCTCTTTAAATACATAGAAAGAATGTATTATCCAGACGCCACTTCTTTGGTCGTGTAAAAGTCTATGGCGATTCGAATTTTTTTTTTTAAAGTATTTTCTGACAGAATTGGAAATGTTTCTCAGTCTCAGATTCATGTCTTTGCAACATTTTTGCAATGACTGACCTTCATTGAGATAACATAATTTTATGATGAAAAATAAGGTGGCGTCAGGATGCAACATTCTTTCCAAATACATTAATGAGTGGTCCTTTTGATCGTAAATTATATTGAGTTTGGATAAGCAGATATTAAAACTTAATGCGTACTTAACGAACAAAGCCCAGCAAAAACAATTCCATACCCGTTGAAACTATTTTTCTTTACCGAACGAACTGTGTTGACTGCGCGGTAACACCCGGCCCGCAGTGGGATACCAACTCGACAACAAAGACTTGGCATTTACCTACCGAGAGAGGTAAAAAGTGGGCAACAAAACTTCATCAAATCAATCTTAAGGTCTGCTTTCTGCGAATTCCTCCCGATTTAGTCCCTGATTTACCCCGGTGGTGGTCGCTGCGGGGTGGACCAACGATGCAAAGTGAAAATTTAGGAATTTCGTTAACAATTTCAATGGGTTTTGGTCATATTTGGCGTCGGGATTTCGTGCGAGGACCGGGCCCGGCCGGGTCCGATTTGCTTTGCTAATGGCGCCCAAATTGTACACGGAAGGTGGTTGCGTTTCGCTGGTACGTGCTGGAATGCGACACAAAGTGGTTAATAATCACATGAAATTAACAGGTAACCAGCGTGAAACTTTGTGTTTATATTCCATAAATAAAAATCTTTTTTTCTAGAATTTGTGAAACAAACTACAGTTATGGTTATATGCGGCGAGAAAGAGGTATACCAAAGCAACTTGACTGATCGACTGTGGTGAAAAAATTAAACCCATACTGTGTGATCATTTATATCCTGAACGTTTTCACTGATTCTTTGATTGAATAAAAATAGGTTCCCCTGAAATTCTTATGGGATGAAAATTGAGAAATTTTACTAGAAAATTTGAGGTTAGGTGGGAGACACCCAGATAATTGACATTAGAACAACAAAGTCAGGCCTAACTCCGATGGAATGTCACCCAAACATTTGCAGGCAGATTTTCCAGTAATGTTCGTAGGTTAAACAAAAAACACATTAGCCTCAATTTCGGAAGAATTTGTAAAGAATATCATCCACGGTCATGGTCTCAAAAAAATTGAAGTAATTCTTTACCGATGGTGACAATTAATCTTTCAAGGAAAACCCACGTGAACAGTCTTTCAAGTAAATGTCATGTTTGACTTAGTTTCATATTGAGCACGATAATGCTGCCCCAAAATAATAACGCAATTTGCCGATTTAAACTAACCTTTGTAGCATTATTCTGCAAAAAGTTGAAGGCTTTCAAATTTGGTGAATAAATCGGATTCACGATTCAAAATCATGATTGTTTTGCCATGACATGACACTGTCGTTTCTCACAACAAAATCAAGGAACATTTTTATCGCAGTTTTCTACTCATTAAGTACTAAGGAAATTGGAGAGAAGTGAAGCAACATTCTAACAGTTTCTAGCGTCCATTGACAGAAACATGACACTCAGTTTTCTAAAAATCTTGCTGAAAAGTTAGGTTTTCAAGCGAATGGGGTGTACATGTATATAGGCTGAAGTATTTTACTGTACATTGTAATGGTAGACCAACGGCTTGGTATAGAACTCAATGCAGTAGTACACTGCACTATAATGGCCTATGATATTGCCTGTTGAGGCAAGCATACACACAAACACCATGCGAACACTGTACGGAGTTGGGCTCGTACGGTGTCCGTTCCCCGACCATATTTGGGCATGGAGTCGCGTGCCAAGCTCCCGGTCGCGAGCGAAGAAGGATGAAGAGAAAGAGAAAAAAATGAAAACAGCAAGGAGCAAGTATGTGAGGGTCTCGTGGCGTCAATTAAGAAGTGGCCAAGACCGCGACATAACCCCCTACCCCCCTGGGGGAATCAGTCAACTTTAACAGGCCATTTGAGCTAGGGGAAAACTCGCTGGTTGACCTTTATCGGCAGTCGAGTTTATTGTCGACTTAAGATTACTTCAAATACTTCCTGTAACGTTTGTTTCTCTTTCATTTTCGATTTTGGCTTTTTTTTCTTTCTTGATTGACAATTGAAAAGGAACTTCTGGTTTTTGACAGCTTCAAGTTCGTACAACGTGAAAGTTTTGTTAAGTTCTATTTCAATTGCATGCTGCGGAATACCCTCAACTTTTCAAACTACTTTGATAATGAAAGACATTTGAGTCTTATCCAAAAAGATCGCAAACTCAAGTATTTTATTTGTAAACTTTTTCAGATATGTCCTTTTATTTTGGAACCTCAAATTCTTTCTGGATCTCTCAGAATTCGGCAAAAATAATAAGCCTCTATAGTCAGCTTTTTTCTTTCAAATATTGGTATTTGGTAAATAATTGTTTCTGACTGTCCTACTTTTTTTTTCTCTTAAAATTATAGCTTTAATTTTAATCTTGAAATGAAATACTGGCCTCCCACGTCATTTTAATTTGCAGTCTTTGTATGTAAAAGTTCTTGCGCAAGGGACAGTGGTTTAATCTCAGAGAAAGTGTGACGACCATGTGACTCACATTCAAAGAAGACATTCCAATCAGCTTATAACCCAGTCGTTGGAAAGTTCAAAATTCTACCGATGGTTTTTGTCTGCCAAATATTTTCTGACAAGACCAGTGAATGAGACCTCTGGACCACCACTGGGCCTTTATCTATTGTCATCTGTTTTCTCCGTTGGTGCAAGCGGAGAGAAAGAATCACGCATCCCCTAGTGACGTTGAGTCACAGAGAGAGAAATTGCTCTTCAAGATGTCAAGGCGATGGCCTCGGGTCTTGATGAGGAAAAAATGGCACCGAGCGATTTCAAGATGCTTTATACTGGTGACTAATCTCTTTTTAAGAAACACTGCACGGTTAACTTTGAGGTTTTAAATATTGAAATTGAATTTCAAAGATGCTGATGCTTTTTGAATTGCGAGAAAAGTTTAGGAGAAAATCTGGTTTGGCATATGGTTTGGTATTTTGCCCAATGTTGGTCAGCATACCAACTGCCGACGCTCTTGGGCAAATTCTTCCTAAAAGTTTGTCAATTTCTACCCGAATTAGCCAACAATGAGGTATCTTCATTCCAATGTTATAGGCAAATACCATTGCCCGACAGCGTTTTACCCACCTTTTTTTTTACACAGTGTGTTGGTTTCCATTATAGAACAAGTTTGAATGAAACAAATTTGAGCAGTAAGTTTTATTCAATTAACAAGAAAGCCTGCAAATAATTTGTATACTTTGTTATTTTACTGAGATACGTGAAT